TAATAACTCGGGAATATTTCCAAAGTTTGAATTCGGAAGTTGTCTACAAAAAATGTATAGCGCACTTTTTAATTGGTCCAGCGGATGCTGAGCTGCACTCAAATAACGTTGAGAAAAAATATTGAAAAATTAAAATTTAAAGATAACAGTTCGGGCATATCGCCAAAGTCATTAAAAAATAGTACCGAACAAAAAATGTATGGAACACTTTTAGATTGGTCCAACGGATGCTGAGCTACACTCAGATAAATTTTTTAAAAATTTTGAAAAATTAAATTTGCGAGATAATTAATCGGGAATACCGCCAAAGTCTTAACCCGGGAGTCTCGAACAAAAAATGTATGGGGCACTTTTTGATTGGTCCAGCGGATGCTGAGCTACACTCAGATAAATTTTTTTAAAAATTTCGAAAAATTAAATTCGCGAGATAATCGCTCCGGAATACCGCCAAAGTCATTAGAAGAAAGTTCTGAACAAAAAATATATGGCGCACTTTTAGATTGGTCCAGCGGATGCTGAGCTACACTAGAAAACAAATTTGTAAAAATTTCCGAAAAATTAAATTCGCGAGATAATGTCTCGGGAATACTGCCAAAAAATTGAGCAAAAAGTCTCGAACAAAAAATGTATGGGGCACTTTTTGATTGGTCCAGCGGATGCTGAGCTACACTCACAAAATCCTGGAAAAAATTTTCGAAAAATTAAATTTGCGAGATAACTGCTCCGGAATACCACCATAAAAATAGGGAAAAAGTTTCGAACAAAAAATGTATGGGGCACTTTTTGATTGGTCCAGCGGATGCTGAGCTACACTCAAAAACATTTTGGAAAAATTTTCGAAAAATTAAATTTGCGAGATAACTGCTCCGGAATACCACCATAAAAATAGGGAAAAAGTTTCGAACAAAAAATGTATGGCGCACTTTTTGATTGGTCCAGCGGATGCTGAGCTACACTCAAAAACATTTTGGAAAAATTTTCGAAAAATTAAATTCGCGAGATAATCGCTCCGGAATACCGCCCAAGTCATTAGAAGAAAGTTCTGAACAAAAAATGTATGGCGCACTTTTAGATTGGTCCAGCGGATGCTGAGCTACACTAGAAAACAAATTTGTAAAAATTTTCGAAAAATTAAATTCGCGAGATAATGTCTCGGGAATACTGCCAAAAAATTGAGCAAAAAGTCTCGAACAAAAAATGTATGGGGCACTTTTTGATTGGTCCAGCGGATGCTGAGCTACACTCAAAAAATCCTGGAAAAAATTTTCGAAAAATTAAATTTGCGAGATAACTGCTCCGGAATACCACCATAAAAATAGGGAAAAAGTTTCGAACAAAAAATGTATGGCGCACTTTTTGATTGGTCCAGCGGATGCTGAGCTACACTCAAAAACATTTTGGAAAAATTTTCGAAAAATTAAATTCGCGAGATAATCGCTCCGGAATACCGCCCAAGTCATTAGAAGAAAGTTCTGAACAAAAAATGTATGGCGCACTTTTAGATTGGTCCAGCGGATGCTGAGCTACACTAGAAAACAAATTTGTAAAAATTTCCGAAAAATTAAATTCGCGAGATAATGTCTCGGGAATACTGCCAAAAAATTGAGCAAAAAGTCTCGAACAAAAAATGTATGGGGCACTTTTTGATTGGTCCAGCGGATGCTGAGCTACACTCAAAAAATCCTGGAAAAAATTTTCGAAAAATTAAATTTGCGAGATAACTGCTCCGGAATACCACCATAAAAATAGGGAAAAAGTTTCAATCAAAAAATGTATGGCGCACTTTTTGATTGGTCCAGCGGATGCTGAGCTACACTCAAAAAATCCTGGAAAAAATTTTCGAAAAATTTAATTTGCGAGATAACTGCTCCGGAATACCACCATAAAAATAGGGAAAAAGTTTCGAACAAAAAATGTATGGCGCACTTTTTGATTGGTCCAGCGGATGCTGAGCTACACTCAAAAACATTTTGGAAAAATTTTCGAAAAATTAAATTCGCGAGATAATCGCTCCGGAATACCGCCAAAGTCATTAGAAGAAAGTTCTGAACAAAAAATGTATGGCGCACTTTTAGATTGGTCCAGCGGATGCTGAGCTACAATCAAAAAATCCTGGAAAAAATTTTCGAAAAATTTAATTTGCGAGATAACTGCTCCGGAATACCACCATAAAAATAGGGAAAAAGTTTCGAACAAAAAATGTATGGCGCACTTTTTGATTGGTCCAGCGGATGCTGAGCTACAATCAAAAAATCCTGGAAAAAATTTTCGAAAAATTTAATTTGCGAGATAACTGCTCCGGAATACCACCATAAAAATAGGGAAAAAGTTTCGAACAAAAAATGTATGGCGCACTTTTTGATTGGTCCAGCGGATGCTGAGCTACACTCAAAAACATTTTGGAAAAATTTTCGAAAAATTAAATTCGCGAGATAATCGCTCCGGAATACCGCCAAAGTCATTAGAAGAAAGTTCTGAACAAAAAATGTATGGCGCACTTTTAGATTGGTCCAGCGGATGCTGAGCTACACTAGAAAACAAATTTGTAAAAATTTCCGAAAAATTAAATTCGCGAGATAATGTCTCGGGAATAATAACAAAAAATTGAGCAAAAAGTATCGAACAAAAAATATATGGGGCACTTTTTGATTGGTCCAGCGGATGCTGAGCTACACTCAAAAAATCCTGGAAAAAATTTTCGAAAAATTAAATTTGCGAGATAACTGCTCCGGAATACCACCATAAAAATAGGGAAAAAGTTTCGAACAAAAAATGTATGGCGCACTTTTTGATTGGTCCAGCGGATGCTGAGCTACACTCAAAAACATTTTGGAAAAATTTTCGAAAAATTAAATTCGCGAGATAATCGCTCCGGAATACCGCCCAAGTCATTAGAAGAAAGTTCTGAACAAAAAATGTATGGCGCACTTTTAGATTGGTCCAGCGGATGCTGAGCTACACTAGAAAACAAATTTGTAAAAATTTCCGAAAAATTAAATTCGCGAGATAATGTCTCGGGAATACTGCCAAAAAATTGAGCAAAAAGTCTCGAACAAAAAATGTATGGGGCACTTTTTGATTGGTCCAGCGGATGCTGAGCTACACTCAAAAAATCCTGGAAAAAATTTTCGAAAAATTAAATTTGCGAGATAACTGCTCCGGAATACCACCATAAAAATAGGGAAAAAGTTTCAATCAAAAAATGTATGGCGCACTTTTTGATTGGTCCAGCGGATGCTGAGCTACACTCAAAACATTTTGGAAAAATTTCCGAAAAATTAAATTCGCGAGATAATGTCTCGGGAATAATGCCAAAAAATTGAGCAAAATGTCTCGAACAAAAAATGTATGGGGCACTTTTTGATTGGTCCAGCGGATGCTGAGCTACACTCAAAAACATTTTGGAAAAATTTCCGAAAAATTAAATTCGCGAGATAATGTCTCGGGAATAATGCCAAAAAATTGAGCAAAATGTCTCGAACAAAAAATGTATGGGGCACTTTTTGATTGGTCCAGCGGATGCTGAGCTACAATCAAAAAATCCTGGAAAAAATTTTCGAAAAATTTAATTTGCGAGATAACTGCTCCGGAATACCACCATAAAAATAGGGAAAAAGTTTCGAACAAAAAATGTATGGCGCACTTTTTGATTGGTCCAGCGGATGCTGAGCTACAATCAAAAAATCCTGGAAAAAATTTTCGAAAAATTTAATTTGCGAGATAACTGCTCCGGAATACCACCATAAAAATAGGGAAAAAGTTTCGAACAAAAAATGTATGGCGCACTTTTTGATTGGTCCAGCGGATGCTGAGCTACACTCAAAAACATTTTGGAAAAATTTTCGAAAAATTAAATTCGCGAGATAATCGCTCCGGAATACCGCCAAAGTCATTAGAAGAAAGTTCTGAACAAAAAATGTATGGCGCACTTTTAGATTGGTCCAGCGGATGCTGAGCTACACTAGAAAACAAATTTGTAAAAATTTCCGAAAAATTAAATTCGCGAGATAATGTCTCGGGAATAATAACAAAAAATTGAGCAAAAAGTATCGAACAAAAAATATATGGGGCACTTTTTGATTGGTCCAGCGGATGCTGAGCTACACTCAAAAAATCCTGGAAAAAATTTTCGAAAAATTAAATTTGCGAGATAACTGCTCCGGAATACCACCATAAAAATAGGGAAAAAGTTTCGAACAAAAAATGTATGGCGCACTTTTTGATTGGTCCAGCGGATGCTGAGCTACACTCAAAAACATTTTGGAAAAATTTCCGAAAAATTAAATTCGCGAGATAATGTCTCGGGAATAATGCCAAAAAATTGAGCAAAAAATCTCGAACAAAAAATGTATGGGGCACTTTTTGATTGGTCCAGCGGATGCTGAGCTACACTCAAAAAATCCTGGAAAAAATTTTCGAAAAATTTAATTTGCGAGATAACTGCTCCGGAATACCACCATAAAAATAGGGAAAAAGTTTCGAACAAAAAATGTATGGCGCACTTTTTGATTGGTCCAGCGGATGCTGAGCTACACTCAAAAACATTTTGGAAAAATTTTCGAAAAATTAAATTCGCGAGATAATCGCTCCGGAATACCGCCAAAGTCATTAGAAGAAAGTTCTGAACAAAAAATGTATGGCGCACTTTTAGATTGGTCCAGCGGATGCTGAGCTACACTCAAAAAATCCTGTAAAAAATTTTCGAAAAATAATATTTGCGATATAACCGCTCCGGAATACCACCATGAAAATAGTCAAAAAGTTCCAAACAAAAAATGTATGGCGCACATCTTGATTGGTCCAGCGGATGCTGGGCTGGACTCATATTTTTCGCAATGTTGGAAAAATTTTCAATTTTTTTAATTTAAGAGATTATTCTTGGAAAATACCATTAAATTCTTAAGCCCAACAGATTTTGAGTTATACTAAAACAATTGTAACTAAATAATTGTGTAAATAATTTAATTTTTATGTACTCATCATAATGATGCTACCCATTGAATTGGCGAAGGCAGAATGATGCATTACACTGTAAAACGAAAGGTATTAATTTAATACTGATTTTAGGTACTTAATTGGTTTTATTTTATACCTTAAATCGGTACTATTTTATTACTTTCTTTTTACAGTGTAGAATCGCTCTTTTAGGAATCTGAAAAATAAAAAAAATTCACATTTTAGCAAAAAAGAAATAAAACTAACTTAAATTCTATATTGAAATTTTTATTTCAATGAAAAAAAATTACTTTTTCCACAATTATTATCAATTAACTAAATATTTTTTTACAATTATAGAATAACTTTAAAATATAATAGTTTATAATTCTATTAGTTTTATCTTTCTTTTTTTGAATATTTGATTTAAATATTATTTCATATAATTAATATTGCATATTTAGAAAAAAGTTAAATAAGCTTTCTTTTATATTTTATAAAATAGAAGTAGTATTTTGAAATGGAATAATTAACAATTTTTTTTCAAAGTACAAAATGTTTTGAAATTAAGGCCAATTTTATTATTTCGAAATTATTGAAATAAGAAATATATTGGATAAACAAAAATATTTTTCCACATTCAATCTATAATTAAACTAAACTGTTATTATTTATTTGACATTGATTTCAATTTATCTCAAAAACAATAGTTTCAATCCTGGGATAATAAACAAAATTCACTCACTTTCGCATTGTTTGTTTTGAAAATTATAATCTTTTCTGAAAATCATTTGAACCGTGTATATATTAACGCACAATACCATAAAAAGGAATATTAACTATATCTATGACGTTAACAAACCGAGCAATCAACTCGTTGTCATATAAATTTAATAATAACTCAACGCAGTCAAAAAATATATTTTTTTAAATTTCTCTCTCTCTCTCTCTCTCCTCTCTCGAAAAGCTAATAAACGCGGTATATTTGCAGAAAATGTCGAGAGAATGCCTCGTGTATAATCGCTAGCGAAGTTTTCCTTTGTTTGACTTTTGATTAATTGGCAGAAAACCGCAGTTTGTTCTGCATAAAATCAATGCAACGAGTGAACAAATATTTTCTGGTTTACGATCGAGACGAATCGTTAGTTAATAGAAAAAAAATCCACTAAAAATACTGATATTTTGGTGGGTATGAAAAATCAAAAATTTTAAGTAGTCAATATTATCCAACTGAATGATACTGAAACTGAACAAATTATTTTAATAGCAGATTTAATAAAAAAAAATAGAAATAATAGTTAGAAATTGTCCATCTAAAAATAAGTCTAAAAATTAATTACATCTAAAACTCCATTGCATCATCCAATCAACTGGATATCAACTAGTACAACGCTACAGAATAATCCAAACGAATTGGATTCCATCCAACCATTTCTCAGCGCATGTTCAACTAATACATTTTGAAATAACATGTGTACGTACAATGCGAATGCAAATACAATTTATAATGGAACCTAATGAGAAAAACAAATGAAATCGTCAAAATGACTTGCTTCCATTTAGTGTGTCCCCAACGACAAATGATTCTTTATCCTTTGAATACGCAAGCATTTTACTCCTATTGTTCTCGCTTCAAGTGACTTAAATACAATTTTGTGACAGAATGTAGAGTGACTATAAGCCTATAAAACGAGGGTGGTTGAAAAGACTTTGTCCTTTCTGAATGTATATAGTTTAGTCCTCGTGGTAGTTTGTATCGAGGTCGAGGAAGACGCCTAAGCGCAGGCCCTGCCATCAGGCAATGTGTATTTGACCCCCTTCACACAACCCACTCTCCTTTTACCCCGAAACCTACACCATTCTAACTCCCTCGCATACCTTACGAACATAGTTACTGGTACCTAGGACTTTAGCTACGATCCTTCTTCAGAACGTGCCGGTCGTGTTTTCATCTTTGTTCTTTCATTAAAAAAAAAAAATCCTCAAAAGTGGTCCAAGTTTACAAAGTGAACTTCTTCTTCTATATCGATAAATACACTCATGTAAATTATAGTTTATCTAAACCACCTTTCTTTTAAATCATTCCAAAAAGTAATTTTCAGGTCACCATTTTTTTCTTTTTTCTCATTCATTTTGACAAAAAATAATATTATATCATCACACCTAAAAAGTTTAGAATAATGTAATGAGAACATTTTCGGGAGTGATTTCGAGAAATCGAGTGACATATATATTTTGAAAGGTTCGTATTGAAGAGGGAAAAAAAAAATTGTATATATAAGTCGAAGAAAATTCAACGATATAGAAGGGAAGATCAAAAAGGGATGAATTCGCGAATGGCATGGATTTGAAAGCACTTTGTGGACAAACGAGTTTAGAGGGGTTGCATTTGGCACGAGCGCGCCACCAATATTATGCATCGTAAGTCATTGCTTCTTTTTTTCCACCTCCCACTCCTCCCTGGCCCCCCTTGATCCCGGAAAACGATGATCAGCGACCTAGGTCGTGCCGATTTATTTCGAAGGATTTCCCAATTGCTTGAGAAAGAATAATAGGCTTTGACAGTTACAAAAAAATAAAAGGGGAAAAAATACTGCGAACACGTGAAACATTGGCGAGAACGAAACCAATAGTTAAAAGGAGTCAAGTATTGATTTTCCGTTTTTCTTCCATTTCTTTTTGACTTTAGTATTCACAATGGGGTTTTGCTTATGTAAGAAAATGATACCCTATTGGATAGATCCATTATTACACGTGGGAATTCGATTACGATTTTTCACTTGCATATATATAATATGATAATGTAGAGAGAGATCGATTTTTCCTCATTTTTAATTTACCATTTTTTGCTAAAAAATATTTAATATTTAATTTCTTTTTATTACCCGAGTATAACAAAAAAAAAAAAAATTATTAAATATTTAAACCTCAATTAAGATGAGAAATAAGCAAAATTTTATTCCATAAAATAATTATAAAATTCATTTCTCATTCTAGACAGCATTAAATGAATAAAAAATTAATTTTATAATTATTATTTTGGGGAAAAAAAATTTTAATTTTTCTCTCATATACGACATTAAATATTCATAACAGGGTTTTTTGTTTATTTATTCATGAAATATTTATTTTCTAATTGTATGTGCATATTAATTAATTTTTAATTGTTTGCTTTTTTTCTCTATATATGTAAAGAAGTAAATAAAACGAAAAATAAGACATTTTTTTTCCCACCGATCAAATTTTTTTAATTCTTTCACAAGTAGAGATCACTAAAGAGTCGATGGCTTGGAAGAATTCAAATTGAATCGTTTTAAGTCCTCATCAGAAACTATATATATATTCCATCAGGAACCAATTTTCATTTCCTCTCCACAAGATTACATTGATTACATCAATTTTTTTTCAATAGTGTTTATCCCTTTTGAATTGATTTTTTATAAAAAAGAAAAAATTTTGGATAAAGGTTAAATATTTGAGACACAAACGATTATAAAATTTTAGGTTATGTATTGTTTCAATTGCTTGTACGATTATTATAATTAAATGACAAAATAAACCATGTAAATTTCATAGAATCAAAATTATACAAAGTGGGATGAAAATAATTAGAAAATTTTTCATTTCTTAAAGCAAATTTTTTTCCCCCTTTCAACTATTAAGATCAAATCTGGTTGAATAATGGTTAAATCGTTTAGAAAAGGTCAAGAACCGTATTATCTAATGGATGGAAGACTTAGATAAACAGAAATAGAGTAAAATTGGATCAAGGAATTTAAAGTAATCAACTATTAGGTGTATCATATATCATCGTTTAAGGTATCATAAAAAAATTATAATTACCGTCAAATTTTAAATAATTTCCTTATAAATAATTCATAATATTGTATATTTATAAATTTGAATAAAAAAAACATTTCTGAATTAAATATCAGAATTAATAAATAATTGTTTGAATTAAATATTTAAATAAATATTTATTTAATTCTTTGTATATTCTTTAGTTCGAAATAAATAATTTTATAGTCAACAATAGAGATTTTTAATTTTCAAAAAGAAAGCATTTTTTTCAATTAAAAAAAAAAATTATCTGGGCGTGCCTTATTTTGCCACGATCGATAAAAGTGAAGAAAGAGTTCTTAATTGAAAGTGAAAGAGTCCTTATTAAGTCTAGATCGTATAGGACAAGAAAATAAAGTGTCTAAAAATAAAATATTGAATAAGGAAGAAAATTTTTATAAATGAATAAATCAATATAGGAAAACAAAAATTAGGATGTGACACCGACATAAAAAAAAATTGTTAACATTAATCAAGAAAATGGTTGAATAAAAGGAGTTGTATATTTTCGGAAACTTAATATTTAAGTATACCTAAAAACCGTAATTTTATTTGTTCAATAAGTTTTGAACTATTTAGTTTGAGGTTATGTCAATGGGTTGAACAGTAAATAGTTAAATTGTCCTTTTGGTACTTAGATTAATAATTTTTTTTTTGTTACACATTTAAAAATGATAGATTACTTCCTCGTTTAGATAATAAAAATTATGAAGCATTAGGTTCGATTAATTGTAAACCGGTTGGCGACTGTTTGTCTGCTTCAAAGTGGTAAACTTGGGTGCGTGTTAAGAAGTCATCAGCGCGTGTAACCACGTGTACGTAGGGTTATTTTTTTCATTCTTTTTACCAACACGATAGACTCGTAATTATTGTACACTCGCACAGATCTCCAACGATTTATACCTTTTCTTGCATAATGGATGAACAGTTGGCCTCAATCCACGTTAGTATTTCAAAGTTTTTTTTTTATATAAATTTATATATATATATATGATATTTCGTCTTCGTTTCGTTTATCAAACGCAAACATACATACACACATATACTAAAAAACGCGAAAATGCTCGTTAAAGAACTAATCGATTTATTCACCAAACAGCGAAAATCCATTGAGAGCAACATAAAAAACTTTATTTCTTTTTCCCCTTTAAAATATTTTGATCGTAAAATATTTAATTTTACTCATTAAATAATTAAACAATTTACAAAATTTGTTTAAGAAATTAGAAATTGTTTAATGCTTTTTAAATTGAAATATTTAAAAATCTCTTTAATTATCTTTTCTGTTGCAGTTTTATTGTGTCAAGTAAGGAGGAATATTTTGAAAAGAAAAATACCTATCAGTTTATACTGGACAAAATGTAAATAACGAAAGCCAATATAAATATATATCCATGAATGCTATCTTTGAAAATAATTTAAGTTTATAGCGTAAACATCTCCGACCAATGAATATCAAACGAAAAACGTTGAGGAAGTAGTAGTAGTAAAAAAAAAAAAAAAAAAGAGGATCATCCCTTTCAACATGTCCTTTTTCGGTTGGGGAAAGGGTGGTCGTGAAAGCTCTGACCATCCAGGACGAAATTTGCAAGACGGACTTTTTCAAATAGCCTCGCAAGCTTGTCACATACTCGTGCAGGTGAGTGTTTTTAATTAGAGTGAAATTGCGTCTCGTGCTGTCGAATAAATGCAAATGAAAGACATGTTTACACGGCAACGGCACGTGATGTGCATTTTGATATCCTCTTTGTTTGATAGTAAAATATATTGAAAAAATTGAAACTATTTTTGTATAAAACATAAATAATACTGAACAAATGTAAAAAAAAGTACAAACAAATTAAGAAGCTATGCTTATAAAATCAGTTGCATAATGAGATGTTTTTTATTCAAAAAATAAAAAACAGAATATAGAAAAAAAAAATTTATACTTCTATGGGAAATATAAAAATATAACTTAAAAAAATATGAATATACAAATATAAATATAATTTAGAAAAGAATATTCTCATTTAAAGAGAGGTACTTTAGTAATCATATGAAGAAAAATAAATCGGACAAATGAAAGTTGCACTAGCACTAAAACTATTGGTAACAACTAAACTAAGAACTACATGCAAAAAATTAACAATTATTTCTACAACCATTGATAACAACTAAACTACAAGCAAAAGTTACCAATGATTTCTACAACCATTGATAACAACTAACTAAAAACTACATGCACAAATTACCAATGATTTCTACAACCATTGATAACAACTAAAACTACAAGCAAAGTTATCATTGATTTCTACAACCATTGATAACAACTAACTAAAAACTACATGCACAAATTACCAATGATTTCTACAACCATTGATAACAACTAAACTACAAGCAAAGTTATCATTGATTTCTACAACCATTGATAACTAACTAAAAACTACAAGCACAAATTACCAATGATTTCTACAACCATTGATAACAACTAAAACTACAAGTAAAGTTATCATTGATTTCTACAACCATTGATAACAACTAACTAAAAACTACAAGCACAAATTACCAATGATTTCTACAACCATTGATAACAACTAAAACTACAAGCAAAGTTATCATTGATTTCTACAACCATTGATAACAACTAACTAAAAACTACATGCACAAATTACCAATGATTTCTACAACCATTGATAACAACTAAACTACAAGCAAAAGTTACCAATGATTTTTACAACCATTGATAACAACTAAAACTACAAGCAAAGTTATCATTGATTTCTACAACCATTGATAACTAACTAAAAACTACAAGCACAAATTACCAATGATTTCTACAACCATTGATAACAACTAAAACTACAAGCAAAGTTATCATTGATTTCTACAACCATTGATAACAACTAACTAAAAACTACAAGCACAAATTACCAATGATTTCTACAACCATTGATAACAACTAAAACTACAAGCAAAGTTATCATTGATTTCTACAACCATTGATAACAACTAACTAAAAACTACATGCACAAATTACCAATGATTTCTACAACCATTGATAACAACTAAACTACAAGCAAAAGTTACCAATGATTTTTACAACCATTGATAACAACTAAAACTACAAGCAAAGTTATCATTGATTTCTACAACCATTGATAACAACTAACTAAAAACTACAAGCACAAATTACCAATGATTTCTACAACCATTGATAACAACTAAAACTACAAGCAAAGTTATCATTGATTTCTACAACCATTGATAACAACTAACTAAAAACTACATGCACAAATTACCAATGATTTCTACAACCATTGATAACAACTAAACTACAAGCAAAAGTTACCAATGATTTTTACAACCATTGATAACAACTAACTAAAAACTACATGCACAAATTACCAATGATTTCTACAACCATTGATAACAACTAAAACTACAAGCAAAGTTATCATTGATTTCTACAACCATTGATAACAACTAACTAAATACTACATGCACATATTACCAATGATTTCTACAACCATTGATAACAACTAAACTACAAGCAAAAGTTACTAATGATTTCTACAACCATTGATAACAACTAAAACTACAAGCAAAGTTATCATTGATTTCTACAACCATTGATAACAACTAACTAAAAACTACATGCACAAATTACCAATGATTTCTACAACCATTGATAACAACTAACTAAAAACTACATGCACAAATTACCAATGATTTGTACAACCATTGATAACAACTAAACTACAAGCAAAAGTTACCAATGATTTCTACAACCATTGATAACAACTAACTAAAAACTACATGCACAAAATTACCAATGTTTTTTACAACCATTGATAACAACTAAACTACAAGCAAAATTTACCAATGATTTCTACAACCATTGATAACAACTAAGTAAAAACTACATGCAAAAATTTACTATTAAAAAAAAAATTACCAATACCTTACAACCATGAAATCTACGTTGCACTGCGAGTGCAACTCTCAATTATCCGATTTTTAAAATAACTTTTGACTTGTACATTTTGATGATGATTATTAAATATTTTATTCACTCTATGACAAACACTATGAACTCATGCCTAATTGTATAACTTTCCATTCAGTCAAATTTCTTGTTCATTATTAATAATATAATCAATTTTAATTAATTGGATTCAGTATATTTTATGTTTTATACATATAAATATATATTATAGTATAACACATATGTGTACTAATTTTAAGCCCTCTAAGTAAAAAAATCTGTCGTCTAGTAAGGGAAAAATATATATGACGGACGCACGAGACTTTCCATAAAGTTTCCATCGATACACCAAAGGTGTAAGGAATCCCTAAATTTACATAAAAATCAAAGGAATTTTCTGATGTTAGAAAATGATATACGCGTAAAAGTAGTTTGGTGTGACAGCGAATTTTTATCTACCACAGAAATTTTTAATATAGGGACAGCGAATACGTTTGCCGTGGGGTTTCAATTTTCAACTTTTTTAACACGTTACAACTAACTTTTTAGCAACTCTATAGCAAACATTATAGTTGCTGTACCAAATTTTTCAGCAAACATTTGTTAGTTCCTACAGCTAATTCATTTTTTTCGTGTATTTAATATATTTAAATATATTATATTGAAAATCCATATATTATTTAAATTAAAAATGATTAATTTGATTGAAAACTTACCGAAAGACTTCTTATCGTTGTTGACATTTGAAAAATGGCCCTTCAGGATCTGTAACAAAAAAAAAAATTTGAAAACATTAATACAATTTTAAAAAATATATATCTAAAATTATTCCTCTAGAATTGAGAGGATTTTATAATAAAAAGGGTTTCATTTTTGCATAATCTATTGTTTTCAAATTTAAAGTTGAAAAAAAATGAATTGTGGTTTTTCTTTTTTGGTAATTCGGAAAAATTAGAAAAACATATTTGTATTCTCTTAATTTTTTTTTGGGTAATTTTTTTTCAGGTTAACAACACACACAATGTGTCTTATGGTGGAAGCAATAACGTGACCAACGTAGCGTACTCAAAGTACTCGACGGCCGGTGGTTCGTCTACTTTGGCATCATCCTCTTCCGGTCGTGGAACATCCTCCACCAGCAAATCTTTCTCCACACATGTACATCCTGAGGGCAAGGATCAGGACGTTGTGGTGCTTTTACCTCCTCAGAAAAACAGGACACCGCGGATTCGACAGAAGTTATCAGTACGTATTATATATATATATATATAGTATAGAAAAACCTTTTATCGAGAGTTTCCTTGTCAACTTGATATAATACTTTTTCAATATTTTTTCTCTTTCTTTTTTTTTATGTACTTTTTTTCATTTTTTTTTCTTTTTTTTATTTATTTTTCGTTTCCTTCCTTTACGCATGACCGATCTAAGTACTTTTCGTCATTGATTTGTTGTGTCACCCAGGCATACGACGGAGATATAAAAAGTATTATGACCTCCCTGAAATCTCACTGCTTCCAGCTACAAATTTTTAATATTGCCTCTCTGCGCTTGTTTACTATCAACGTACCTTTTATCTCTTCTCATTTTCGCTTTACTGCGACTAAGCTTAATTGTTAATTAAATATCGAACATTTTAATTAGCCTCGTATTTTACTTTAGTCTTCATTTTGATACAAAAAAGAAAATAAGAGACGAGAGAGGAGAGGGCGGTCATTCCTTTTATTATCAGTGCTACTTATAAAAATTTCATTGTGGACAGCGTAAATCCTTATAAAAAAAAAAAACGAGCAATAACTTTTTTTTCTGCAAAATATTTTCAAAATTATTATTGTACTGTTAGATAATATTTAAAAATTTATTTTCCCAATCAAGTACTTTGAAAATTTTTTTTATTTATATTAATTGTTTTTTTTTACATTGAAAAAAAAATTTGATTTTAATTTCCATTTTTCAGAATCTTTTGAAATATCCTGTTTTTATAATAAGGAATATAGTCGCGATGAAAAAAAAAAAAATTTAATACTGTCGATAATGAAGGTCAAGGATGAAACCAACAATATGGAGGAGTCTTTAAATTAATCAATACCCTCGTCCTGATGAATTAAACGGGGTAAAATTAGCACCGCAATCGTTAGCGTTAAAAAAAGATTCTCGCGCTTATATGAAAATATAGGACAACACAATTTCTTATAATCGCATTACATAGTTCTAGAAAATAATTTACCAATTTCTTATTCCATAATAAACAAAATTTGATTATGAAAATACACAAAAATTAAAATGAAATTTGATTAAATAGTAAAACCAAATTTGATTTCAATTAGAAACTATTTTTCTTGAAAATATTGATTAATCCATTTTTCTATAGGAAAAGAAAATTTTTTTCAATAAAACTGTTTATAGGATTAAAATAAGTTAAAATTCACAAGAAAAATATTTGAACAAAAAAAAAACTGCTCTTATGGAATAATCGAGATATCAACAAATAATTTTAAATTTACGTTATGAAATTCTCAACGCGTTGTCATTGTAATTAATGTAAAATCGAAATCTTTTGAAATGAAAATGCTGGAAATTAAAGACACGATTATTCTAGAACTCGAAATGATTGAACTTGCAAAACACTTCATTTCACCACTTTACAGCACTTTATTCAGACACTGTGAGAATTTTAATATTTTTCTCCAGACTTCATTTCTCATCTCGTTCCGCTTTTATTCGGCGACTGCCGAATGACTTTTTCAAATTAACATCTTCTTTCAAAAGATAAGTAAATTCTTTCATCACATCCTTTCCGTGTTCTATATAATAGGTATGTGAATCTTTTTTTTTCTTTGCAAAATACAAGCGTCTTTTTCATGTTGCGTGTTTCAAGGCCATTGAAAATATATATATATATATATATATATATACGATGCGATATATGTATAATATAATTGTCGAACTTTATGGACACACAAGTGTCAGTAGGTCCTTTTTATGTATTCGTGAGTTTGGTATATTATAAATGTGGATGAATATAAATATATATGAACATAAGAGTCACTAGTAGGTAAAGTATACTGAATTTGATGCTATCGGATAATTTCAGAACTTCCGAGACACGGCGGTTACTTTGACTTCGTGGAATAAGTAAATGAAAATTTCGTACGAAATGCTAAATTTAATTTTCTTCGACATTCACCCAAAAATTTACATGATAAAATGCTGTGTATTACACATAAATTTTAAATTTCAGATTTTTATGTAACTCCATTTTTACAGATTTTTATGTAGGTTCATTTTTTAGATTCAACTTTTTTTTATTTATTTAAACTAAATAAATAGCAATCAAAATTAAATTAAATATAATTTTTTTGTTCATAAAAATAATAATTAAATTAAATGCGACGTTGATTTAAAAACTTTTATATATAATTGCAATACTCTGAAAGTTGAATATATATTATGATCATAGAAATTTTTAATAGATTTAAAAAATAAATGAAATAAAATATTTAATACACTTTCATATTGGATTACCGCACACTAGTTTAGAGATATTTTTTCCAATCATTAGACTTTTTAAATAGATTTAAAAAAAAGATGAAATGAAATATTTAATAATTTATATAATATGCAACACCAATAGACGAGACGTTATTTCCCATTCCACAAAATGCAAATTATTATTTTTCCCCTATTAATAATTTACATCTCAAATTTCACAATATAAAATTTTAAAACATTTTTAAACATTTATTATTTAAAAAAATTATTTTAAATTATACCTTTTTATTCTCTCTACATATTTTCCATTGAATTTTAAATTTTTTACAATTTTGTTACAAATATAATTAATTTGTATTTCAAACTTTTTGTTAAAAACCGAAATTTAAATTTATATTATTTTTCTCATATAATGGAATTTATTTATTAACAGGACATGAATATTTTATTTAAAAAAAAACAATTAGGTTAAATTAATGATTAACCAAAAAATAATTGGAGAAACTGTATATTACTGTAAATGTTATTTTGGTTTAACAGCAAAAGCAACAGAATGTCGATTTTCACGAAATGTTATTATTGTCTTTGGGTTGAAATTTACCGCATGCAGCCCACTCGAGTGTGGTATACGTACGCCCACTGTACTTAATTAAGAATTACCCACGTGTGTCGATTACTCATTAACAGCGGAACAAAGGGTAATTTGGCATCGTACAAACCACCGAATTTTCAAACGGAATGTATGAATCTGCATTCACGTATCAATAATTAATAATACATACCCCACTTCCACTTCATCGAGATCCAGAATTCATTACGATATCATTCTTTATTATTTTATACATCATCACGAACAAAAAAAAAGTGTCAAACAATCTGCTTTTAAATACATAATAATTATATCCCCTTAATTGATACTTTTTTATATTATTACTATTTTATTATTATTATTTTTTTTATTATAAAATATTTTAATAATATATTAACAATAATAACAATTAATATTATACAATTAGTTATTTTTTACTAATTCAGATTTAGAAAGTAGGAACAATAAAAACTTTTTTCATTAATTAAAACTAATATTGATCTATTTTGTTGCCATTAAAAAAATAATATAGCAGTGTATTTAATAAAAAGTAGAAATATAAAATCAAAAAAGTTGAAAACCTCTTTAAAAATTACAAGTTACTACTTATCCTTGTTATAAACATCCCCTAACTCTCCTATATAGGAAAGATATATTTTTGAAGCTTTACTAAATAATTCTAAACTCAAATATAACTTGTACGATGAGATTTATATAAATTTTCCTAAAGTTTTGTGTTTCTTATAAAAAGATTTTGCTTTCACATAAATTTTTTTTTCTTAAATTGTCAAATAAACTTTATTAATCAATATCTTTTACAGGGAAAAATTATATCCCCTTTTTTTCGACTATTTCCATAAAAGATAAATCTTGAAAATTTGATATACAAAACTGACGATTATTTTAAAACTATCATTTAAGAAAAAATATTTTCAAATTAATTTCATAACAATTTTTTTTACTTTTAAAAATAAATTTTGCCAAAAGTTAAACGAAAAAAGGTAAATTTGTTTGGAGACAAACGTTATAATGCAGACTATGCGATTAAAGAGAAATAATTAATATTCTGCAGGCAAAAAACTAATTAGAATATATAAAGTTTGAGTTAATACCCAAGGCTTTTGAACGTCTTTCTTTAATTATTCTAAAACGCAACTTCCATCCAAATGAGACGATTAAAAGCTGCATGATAAAAGACAATAAATACGTAAATGGATCTCGATGATGTTTTTAGAAGGGTGTAGATATAAAATTACAGGTACATATAAAGCAAAATTATAGACTCGTCTCATTAAAATGAGTATATGTTACCGATTGTTTTCTCCGAAGAAAAACTATAATATGCCCAGAAAACAATTCCCATGGCAATCATCCCTTTGGGATATAAATGTGCTTTTCGTGACGAAAGCCATAGGGCAATATAAATACATAGTATATATTTTGTTACGTCACACAATACAATACAAGAGTGCAGAAACACCCTTCTTTTTCGTAGGTATATATAGTGTATACAGTTTTACCCCTCACGAAATGGTCGGATCAGTAATCGCAGCACTCCATCAAAATTAGAGCCTCTGGCCAATATCTATAGCAACGCATATCCCGAGGACAACCCGGGAGCAGCTGTAGGTATATCCTTCGATATCAAATTTATCGAGTGTACATCAAAACTCAACTTTAGTTGCTTTCAGAGTCGTCCTCTCACGTTGGAAGTGAAACTTTATACTTACTTTATACTTGTTTTGACAACCTATCATCCGTTGAATATCTCCCTTTGATTGGGAAAATTTTTTTTTCTCTTTTTTTTTCTATCATAACTTTCATCTAGTTTAATTACAACTTTATAACTTGAAACTTTTTTTTTTATAAATTTCTAAAATTACCAATAAATTCATTTATTCTATATTAATAAATAAATAAATTAGTCTCTACTATTTTCTTTTTTTTTTTTTTTTGCGAACTCATCGAAGTAATTTTGGTACATTTAATTAATATTTTCATAATAAATAAATTATTTTTTAGATTCATTGGGGGAAGTAAGTCTTAATCAACTTATAGACACAATCTACAATTAATTGAAAAATAATAATTGTATGATTGATGAATGCTATATAAACACGCAAGAGAAAACACAATTTTCAAAAAAAGCGCGGGGTCATTACACGGACGGAGAATTTTGATCGTGACAACGTCTTTTTTAATTAAAATATATTTTATAAGATTTTTATTTAGTATTTATTTTTTTTATTTTTATTTTAATTTTATTTTATTTTTACACTGAAAAAAATTTTGATTCAAATACTTGATTACAATATCAAATAAATATTTACTTGAACCAAATAATTTTTATTCGAATAAAATAAATTGTATTTGAACCTATAATTTTTGTATTTGAAACAAATACTATCTCAAATAATAATTATTTGATAATAAAATAACCGATTATTTGAATCAAAAAAAAATTTTTTTTAAATAAATCTTGAAAATATGACTTATATTTTTTGAGAAATCGCCTTCGATATGAACGCCAATTTTTCTGACTTTCTAGACCTTGGAATAAGACGTTGTCACGTCAAAAAAAACAACTAAATTTTTTGTAATAAAATTAAATAAATTAAAATATTTACCTTAATAACGAATTCTCATCTGCAAGGAGATTTTTTCAAACTAAATAGCCCTCGGAGATCCCTACTTTCAAGTTAAATTTCCATTCAGAAAATGTGAAAAATAACCGTAAAAATAGACCGAGTTCTAAAAAGTCTGTGTGAATTCTGTGACCCCAAGCCATCCAGGATAGAATCTGCAAAAAGAAAAATTAAAATTGTCAAGAACCTTGCCATTTAAAAATTGTTTGTAAAATAATGAAAAATAAATTTTGCAAAAAAAATTGTAAAATTACAAATTAAAATTAAAATTAAAATTATTTTTATTTATTTTAGTGTTATTATTGCAATAACTCGAAATAGAAAAGATATACTGTTTTATTAATTCAAATTTGAGGGAAAGCAATGAATTTTTAACGAAAAGGATAAAACGAGAATCTTTCCCTTTTCTGCGTGACAAATTTGGTCTGTTCAAATAAGTTTCTGGAATTACAATCTGTCACTGTCTCGTTTCTTATTTATTAAATTCGATTCTATTAACACCAATTCATTTTCCAAGGACCATGGAAAGGAATTGTACAATCTATTGATGTCAGTAGTAATTCTCATTTTAGTCAGACGTGAATCGACAATTACATTTATACTCCGAAAATAGTGTTTATGGTCTTAATTATCAAAAAAAATTACTTCAATTCAAAAAATTCTATTTCTAAAATTAAAACTTTACCGAATGTTTTATCAACTGTCGATAAGAAAGATTACATCCAGAGAAAATATGTATTTGCAAATTTTATTCGGTTTAAAATTTGAATTTAGTTTAAAATTTTATTGACTGCAAAAATTTTTTTTATTGATGTAGAATATTTTTTTAATTACAGTTTATGAGGGATAAAAAGTTTAAAAAAAATATAATACGACTGTTGTTATTAATTTTAATAAGTTGAGAAAAACGAAATGCTTATTTCAAGCATGAAAGTATAATTTGAGAAATGTTAATATAGTAAAATGTTATATATAGTATTTAAAAGTTACATTTTATGGATTTCGTGTACGAGTCCTTGATATATATATATATGTACCATAGAGAGACGTGGGAAGTATTCAAAATTATAGGGGTAATTACTATATTCTGACGGTTTATACGACCCAGTTTGAAATAGTTTGAAATTTGTACCACATTCTGGCACATAAGGTCTTCTCTCAAATGTTGAATGGCCAAGAATAAACAGAAAACAACAGGTCTTGAAGAACTTATCTGTTCTATTGAGCGAACAAGTTTCGCTCAATTGGCCCATAACCGTATTTTCAGCTTAATTTACTCCTAACTGTCCTGATTTAACACATTCCTAGCGAGTACAAAGTACTCAATTTTAGTTTACATTGGCAGTAGTATAAGCGAGAGAAATATTTGTTCAGGATCTTCAAACTTTTCATTCTTGAGAATATTTGTCAAGGAAAAATAAATATCAAAACTTTTTCCACTTCACTTTTTCCTTTTTTTTCACACTCCAATATCTATATATTTATCAAAAAAAAAAAAATTGATTGACAAAAGTGCAATTGGATTCTAATTTTTTTATATTGAATTCCTAATTTAAAAATTTCATCCAACTTTTTCTCCTATTATGTTTACGGAAAAATTATTAGGATTTTTTTTTATAAATCAAAAGCAGATTATTTCTTTTAATCTACAAGAATATTTCCGCAAAATTCAAGGGAAGGAAAATTTCGAATTAAAATAAAAATTTTAAAATTCCTTTCAAATTAATGCAGTAAAAAAATTGTTCCCTAATAATAATTTATTATTTTCGTAATTGCACCTTTAAATGAAGGATTGACATTCCCTATACATCGATCCACGAAAAAAGAATTATTACAATGAAACGATTGATATTTATGTGTTATATTTAACTTTTTCCTAAAATATATGTATTTGCAAGCAAAAAAAAAAAAAAAACACACAAAAAAAATTCAACGATATAGATAAGACATTACGATCATCCCCAAGTAATCTTTCCCTGGACAGGGGTGAGTAATAGTTTGGACTACTTCTCACTGGTGTCCTTTTGCGATGAGTTTTTTTTCCTATTAACCTAACCAGGGGTTATTTGTCCAAAAACCGATAGGGTTCGCTGAACACTTGATGTTCTTTTCGACAAGTATTTTTCTAGCCTACTTCCGACAAATACCTAGATATAAATCCACGAGGACAAATTCCATGTTTTTTTTTTTTTTCTATAAATATTTAGTCCTGAAATTTATAGCATTGTCGGGGGAAAAGAAAAAAGTTTTTTTTTTATTTAAGTTAAAAAATCTTTGAAAAATTCAAGATTTTCAAAATTGCAAAAAAAAAAAAATTATTTTTACAGAAAAAAAAAATGGAAAGTTTTTTTTCATTTTCAGCATTAACAAAATATGAAACACTTTAAACAGGGAAAAAAGTTTTTTTGTTTTATTAATCACTTTATCATTTCTCACAGATGACTAGATTGACAGTGGTAATCAAGAATTTAATGATCAATAAAAATTTAAAGATAGGTTTTTATTTCACTGAATTCAATTTGAAGTAAGAGTTCCTTTACGACAGCGCAGTTTGTCGTGTGGCCTCTTTTCAGGCGTAAGAGATTAAACTCTTGAATATGAAAACTACCTATGTTATACACACACGTGTATTCCGAAAAAAACGCGAATTAAAATAAAAGAAACCGGGAATATTGATTTCCAATTTTTCATATTAATTCTTTTTATTTTTTTTTACTATACATATAACTATTGATAATTATAATATTTTTAAATTTGTTTATAAAATTATTATTAGAATAATAAATTGATAAACAAATATATAAAATATTTATTTACAGTAATAAAAATATATTATAATTATTGTTATAATATATTAATAAAAATAAAATTTTCTATAAAAAGGGAAATTAAGAGGATTTTTTCTAATAATTTAAATGTTTTTACTCGAGGAAAAATGAAGCTTTTAACCCAAGACATAGCAGGGGATAAAAAAGAAAGGACACAATTGTATTTTTTTATTGTGCTGGATACCAATCTGTGTCCTATGCTCACGTTAAATTTCATTAAGTTCTTCCACTTGCTCAGTTTCTCTCGTCGTTTCTATCTCTCTATAAATCTTCCTTTGCTCCCTTATCCAACTCTCTCTGTCTCTCTCTCTCTATCCAGGATCAACACCTTCAGTTATGTACCAGTCTACAGACAATAGACAAAGTAGGGCGTGTACCGAAACACGAAGACAGATTGATCACACACAAAATAAATGATGAATTTAATTATATCAGAGGCGAATGGTCCCTTGATGCCGCACCACCAAGAGAGAGAGAGACATAGAGAGAGAAAAAGAGAGGGAGTAGGAGCTTAATCAAGATAATTGTTGAGCTATGCCTCGTTCTTGGCTCATATTAAAAACACATTAGACTAATGGCACTGCACACCTGAGTGCAAAACTCTGTAAGCAAACGATGCCACTTTTTTTTGCGAAAAAATTTTACGTCAAAACCAAGTCATATTTCCGGGAAATTTTAATTCTTTTTTTTTCTTAATTACAACCTTGGTAGACAAAAACATTGTTATTTTTTTTTTTTTTTTTTTTTTTTTTTGAGTAATTGGTGAAAATTTGTTTCTTTTTAAAAATATTAATGTTATATTAAAATTAATATTAAAAATTAAAAAAATCACTTACCGATGAGATCTTGAACGATTGTCCCTGCACATTGTTCGTTTGAATATCTGAAACAAAAAAATTGTATATTTTATAAAAATTTGAAAATTCTTTTTATTATTAAATTTACTGGAAACTAAAAAATATTAAAATTAATTTAATTATAAATTCTAAAATATGTTTTTTTATTACTATTTATTAACAATAATATTTAGCTTTGAAATTTTTTTTTCAAAATTGCTGTTATTAAAAACGTTAAATTTATCTATAAACAAATAGTGGGATCAAGTGTGGTTTAAAAATAAAAAAATGACGTTAAAAATCGAGAAAAAAAAACAGGAAGTTATTATACGAAATTGCTTTAAAATATTCCATGTATATTTATTGCAATTATTTAACCATTTTAAATATCGAGAATTTTTTTGCTTGTTCATTTTCTAAATACTTTTCTAAAGGAGCCTAGGCTTTTGTAAGTAGAAAAAATTATTAATCGTTTTTCACCAAATATAATTTATTTTAATAAAAATATATAGTTGTCTCAGAGATGAGACAATTTTTATTAAATTCAAATAAATTATAATTTTCTTGGAATAAAATATTCTAGTTATTGGTTATCTAAAATTTTTTTATAGAAAATATTAAAATACGATGGATACTGATTGAAAATATATAAACCCCAAAAATTTGATAATTTAACAAATTGTCAACAACATTATGTGAATTTTATATAAATTTTGTTGATTGAAAGTTACGGTATTTTCATTGGTTTTTTTTTTTTTTTTTTTTTTTAATGCAAATGATAAATGCATTACATTCATTACACTTTCATAATAAACATTCGAACGCTAACGATATAGATGTGATTGTAAATGAACAGGATTGTCAATGGAATTTTAAGTGTCGTACATCATTACACAGAGTATAACGTCGCAGGGATGTCATGAGCATTTAACGATGCGTGAATAATGAATTTGCATATGTATTGTGTAATGGTCAGTAAATAAACTTCAGGTTTAATTTTGTTCAGCATCATTGCGGATTGCTCGCGAGTTTGCAGTAAATGAAGAGAAATTAATTTTAATTTTGGTTCATATAATCTTCAAAGAGTTATTTTAATATTACTGAGGCCAACATGACAAAGGAATTCTTCCTCAGTTTCCACATCAACAAGTTTTCATTTGTGAAATTTAACCAAGCTCTCTTATAATACAGAGAGTTCAATTTTAATTTTCATAAAGTATTTAATTGTCTTTGCTGTCAAAAACATTGGTTTACATTATTAATTGTTTTAATATTTATATCATATATTTGCTAATAAACATTTAATACTATAACTTCTATAATATAATTAATTATATTAAAATCGATGCGTGAAAAATAAAAAAACAAGAACAGAAATTTTCCATTTTCAAATAAATATCGGAGAAACTAATATGAATACAGAAAGTGCAAGTCACTGATGCAAAAAAGTTGTAAATTATTCTTTTATATTTTAAACATAAATTACAAATGTGACATTAAACAAGTGACTAAAAGAAAGAGAACACTGAGGTCATAAAATTTCAAGAAAACGAGCCATAAAATTATGACAGAGCTGATAAATCATTCTGTAATTAGAGTATAACTCCAACATTTATTCGAGACTTTATGGGTTGAATGAAATTCGCTGGCAGATGCTCTAGACATTTGCAAAATAGTTGTCAGTGGAAGAAAATGAAAAGGATTCAAATTGTGTTCTATTTAACTAATTTGCAAAATGTCCCCAACATCGAAAAAAAAAACAATTCTCACAATCATGTGAAAAATATTTCGCTTTCATTTAATTTTCACCTAATTTAAAGATACTACTTAATGAAACTGAGATGCCAAATGAAAATTATAAATAATTAATCTGTTAAATTGTATTTTGCCAAATAAAAAATTAATAATAACATTAACATATAATAAATATAATAAAAATGTTACAAAATGAGAAATGGGTTAAATGAAAATTAATTATGTCAAATGAGAATTATGACAAATATTAGAGCTGTGTGATCCAGGGTGGCCGTTTTTTTCACCAAAAAAAATTCCCGGTCATTTCCCGGTCATTTCCCGGTCATGAATTATTTTTCCCGGTTATAAAGGAAAATTCCCAAAAAAATTATTCTATAAATTTATTGAATATTGACTCTTTATTAAACATAAAACATACAGGGTGTTCCAAAAGTATGGAAACTTGCAAATATCTCGAAAAGTACGAATTTTTGTAAAAAATGTTCAAGACAAAAGTTGTTCCAAACAAAAAGATGTACATCTTTGAAACCAAAAAATTGGGCCCGGAGCCCAATGTTGGGCCCAACAATGAAAAAAGTGGTTTTCTTAAATGAGACCACTAACTTTCAGTATCAAATTCGTAATCCCCATGAAATTCTGCGTTCAGACATGTGGTATAAGTGCCCAAAATATTGGGCTCAATCCAAGATATTGGGTCCAAAATTTATCAACAGATAAATAAATTTTAAAAAATCGCATCTTGGAGGGATTTTGACATTACAGGATTAGAAATTGAGCATAGAGCCCAATGTAAGATTCTGCAGCCCAATGTGAGGGCCCAATATTTTTGGAATTTGTACCACAAGTCTAAGCCCAGAATTTCATAACGATTACGAAATGGAAGGAAACTAATTTTTTTACTGTAGGCCTCACATTGGGCCGCGGAATCTTGCATTGGGCTTTGTGTACAATTTGAAAATTAGCTTCCAATTTCTAATCCTGTGATCTCAAAATCCCTCCAAGATGCGATTTTTTAAAATTTATTTATCTGTTGATAAATTTTGGACCCAATATCTTGGATTGGGCCCAATATTTTGGGCACTTATACCACATGTCTGAACGCAGAATTTCATGGGGATTACGAATTTGATACTGAAAGTTAGTGGTCTCATTTAAGAAAACCACTTTTTTCATTGTAGGGCCCAACATTGGGCTCTGGGCCCAATTTTTTGGTTTCAAAGATGTACATCTTTTTGTTTGGAATAACTTTTGTCTTGAACATTTTTTACAAAAATTCGTACTTTTCGAGATATTTGCAAGTTTCCATACTTTTGGAACACCCTGTATAAATACGTAATATACATTAAAAAAAACGTTTTATCACGTTTATCACATTTTGTTTCTTACTTAATGTTTATAATAAACACATACTATATATTTTTTTAATAAAATAAACTTTTTCGTAGATATTTGTATCTCTTTTCAATTAAACTAGAAGTTAACTTTTAAAAACTACATTTTTAATATCACATTCAATATTTTAACATCTTAATACTTTGAGTTTTAAGATAAACATATATATATATTTTTTAAATTAAAGATACGTTCAGATACGTATTCAGTTAAAAATCAAGTTTGGTTATTTAATTGTTTAAGTTCTAAATCAATGTCTTCTGTACACTTGCGAGCATTTTCTAAGATCAAAGCTTTTTTTTCTTTCAACAATTTTTGAATTAAATAAAATACTTTTTAATAAAAAATTTCAAAATTCCCGGTCAAGGTAAAAATTCCCTGTCATTTCCCGGTTTTTCCAGGTCAAAACAAATTCCCTGTCATTTCCCGGTTTTCCCGGTTTCCCGGTCCACTGGCCACCCTGTGATCCCATCAAAGGGAAATTATATTTATCAAAAGAATTATATAATTTTAGATTTGAGGAAAATTTCAATTTTAAAATATTAATTATAATTATTAATAACACAATTAAAAATCGAGGAATTTAAAATTTTTAAATTACAAAAGGAAGAATTCGATATAATTTAAAATTTCGTGTTATTAAATTTTTGTTAAATCCTTTTTCAATGTATATAACTAAATAATAATTAAAAATTTGTATCCGTATGAATTATCAAAAAAATACCAGTAATAGAAAACCAATTATTGTATTTTGTAGAATATTAATTAAATTTCGCATATATTTTTTAAAAATTATATACCTACATATAATAAAATAATTTCGAAATGCTTTTATAATTCATTGAAATCATTGAAAATGGCATGTAGACTAGAAATTCTATCATTATAAATTTTGCAATATATTCTCGTACAAATATTAATTACATTTTGTGCCTAAAGGGTTTCGTGTCAAACAGTTACATTATAACCGATCAATAAAGTACCCCCAAACTCCCTCACAATGAAGTAGAAAACACCATCAAATATGCATCAACCTCGAAAACTGACATTTAAACGTATATATAGTATCACCCAGCTGCGTTGTTGCCATATTCACATATCTTGTTTGCAACCACACACACACAACAGGTGTTTTTTTCCCCGTCTTTTATAAATCATTATTGTATTTTTTTTATACATTCTTATTTACAGTGAAATAAAAGAACAAATACAATTAATTAGAAAAATGTTTAAAATACTTTACAGTTCATTATAATAATTTAATATTCCCCTCTCTCATTATGAAATGATTTTAAAAGATTTTAAATCTCCTGCCAATAATATATCGTCTGCTACTAGCAGACGACGTAAGAGAAAATGTCAGATTTTTACATTGATTTCCGCCCGTTCAGATGGCGCATGTTTACGTCTTCAGTTTCCGGTTTTAAACAAAACATAACCCCCATCTGTCATTTTGACATTTCGTCTAACTTTTATTTTTTTTTTTTGTTATTTTACGTTAGTTTTTAATGTAATTATTTAAAAATTTATTTCATTACGAACTTTATTTTAATTTTAACATTAATGTAAAGAAAAGAAAGTTATGTTAAGCATGACAATACCAAAAGTGAACATAAGTGAGAATAAAGAAAAAAGAACAAAGGTATTTGATGTTTTTTTTTTGTTTACAAACACTGTGGAAACAAAACTTTTAAAATACTATCAATATTACTCTATTAATTACATTTATTTTCTCATTGTATTTGTCTGTAATTAGTAAAAAATATTTAAAAACTATAACTTCATATAATCCTTTGTCTTTAAAATTTATAAACAAAAAGTGCAATGTAAGCAAAAAAAACATCTGCTTACATTGCTTGCAGAAATATTTTATAGTTGAAACGAAATCTAATATAATAATAACGAAATTATAATAATTTTAAATCTAATTAAATTTAATATAACATTAGAAATTCTTAGTAATTAAATATTTTCGCGGGTGAAAAAAAAATCGTTTCAAACTTTTTTACCTAATGTAAAATTACTTTAAAATTATTTTTTTTAGCGTTAGCTTATTTTACTGTAACAAAATTAATAACAAAAAATATAAATAATAATTATAAATATATATATATATATATATATATATTAGAAAAAAAAATTGGGAATTTTTAACAGGAATAATCAATAAACTGTGGTGAAATGATAAAATATAGAGTGTTATTATCATTTTAAATTGATAGCAAATAATAAAACTTATAAATAAGAAAAGATCTCTATCGTTTTCAGACGTTATCTGAAAATACCAGACTGGGCGTTAGCTCCCCTCAAATCGATGAGGATTTTGAACTTTGGGATCAGTCTGGTTTTATGTTAAGGAACGATATGGATGATTATGTAACGAATTCAAAGTAAGTGCAAAAAATTTTTTTTTGAATTTATAATGTCCAAATATTATTTTTTATAATCAAAATATTTCGTTAAAATTTATTAAACTTTTAATTTAGCGTTTAACAAAAACGATTTGTTTTTCACTAAATTTTTTTACTTTTAGAATTTTTTTTTTAAATAAAACCGATTGGATTTAAAAATTATTAAATTATTTATTATAATTTGATTAAAAAAAAAAATTTATTTCTAGATGGGGGGCACAAAGTTGGTGTAAACCAAGTTGTATACCAATTACGGTAATTTTGGTATTAATTGTTTTGGTTGTACTTTTGCCATTACTCGATGCAGCTGATAAGCAAGCATTAAATTCAACAAGAATTGAAAATAATTCTAAATTGTCTTGCATGGATAGCTGCAGTTTATCCCTGATAGAGTCAATTCCTATCGGTCTCAACTACTCGAATAATTCTGTAATCCACCAAAGTACTTATCAGACATGGAAGGATCTAATAGAGTCCGCTCAAAGTACAATTGAAATAGGCTCCTATTATTGGACAATGAAACGAGAAGACGTTTATCCTCACGATAGTGCAAAAGAAGTAAGATAATATTTTATTTTTTATAATAAATAAATAATTTTAAATATTTTTTTTTTCTATTTTTCGATATGGGAAAATGAAAAAAAATTTGAATAGAAAAAATATATAGTAGGGATTGAAATTTAACTCCCTTCTTAAAAGTGGCATTTAACAATTTCTTTTGTTCAGGGCGAGGACGTATTTCAAGCGCTATTGGAAGCCGGAAGGGATCGAAGAGTGACACTGAAAATTGCACAAAACGCACCCTCGCAAGTTAGTCCAAACACTGATACTGAGTTCTTGAGTAAAAAGGCTAATGCACAAGTGAGAAGTTTAAACTTTGCAGCCCTCATTGGCGCTGGAATTCTCCATACGAAACTTTGGATTATAGACAGGAAACACGTGTACGTTGGTTCAGCGAATATGGATTGGCGAGCATTGACACAAGTTAAAGAACTTGGTTTTGTCGCCATGAATTGCTCATGCTTGGCGGAAGATATCGCTAAAGTTTTCGATGTAAGCATCAACTATTTTTTTTTTTTTTTAAATTAATTAATTTTTTTTCTATTAATTGAAAATAATTTTTCAATGTAAATTAATTTTTTCAAATCAATCATGAAACAAATTTTCACTAATTTACTTTTTCCCTAGGTTTATTGGTTACTTGGAGAAAAAAATCAAGTACCCACAACGTGGCCAGCAAATTTTAGTACCAAAATCAATGTTAAAAATCCAATGACACTGACTCTTGACAATGTCAAGTATCGAACATTTTTTTCAGTGAGTGTCAAAAATAAAATTTATTAATAACTTATAATAAAAATTAATCTCAATTTCTTTTAAATATTTCAGAGTGCACCTCCAAAATTTTCACCACCGGGACGAACAGACGATATTGACGCAATTTTACATTGCATAGAAAAAGCTGAGAAATTTATCTATATTTCCGTTATGGATTATATACCAATGATGATTTACACTCCAAAATTTAAGTAAGAAGAAAATTTATAAAAAAAAATTTTTAATAATAAAATTTTAAAAAACAAATAGAAAAAAATATTTACTTTTTTTTTCTTTAAAGGTTTTGGCCGGTTATTGATAACGCTCTTAAAATTGCAGCAATTGAGCGTAAAGTAAATGTGAGACTTTTAATTTCATGGTGGAAACATTCGAGAATGAGTGAGGATCATTTTTTGAAATCATTAGAGGATTTGACGAATTCGTACAAGAATGTGAAAATTGAAGTTGTTAGTATTCTTTGCGAAAAAAACAAACGTTCCCTTATTGTGAAAAGTAAAAATTGAAAAAATTTGATTCTATTTTTTCAGAGGCGATTTATTGTTCCTACAACACCTGACTTTGACCAGATACCTTATTCAAGAGTTAATCATAATAAATATATGGTTACGGATGGTGCTGCCTACATTGGAACTAGTAACTGGTCGGGCGACTATTTCGTTGACACTGCTGGTAAATATTTATTATAGTAAAAAAAATTAATTTATATATTTCTCGTTTAAAAAAAAAAATAAACTTTTACTATAATTCCTAATTTTTAATTAATTATTAATTCAATTTTTCAAAAGAATTCCATGAAATAATTCGTGTATAAATATATTATATTAATTATTTTTCAGGGGTCAGTGCAACTTTCGAGGACGATGGAGTCAATAATAAAAAAAGTCTCAGAAAACAATTAGAAAATGTATTTCTTCGCGACTGGAATTCGCCCTATGTTCATCTATTAAATGCATCCTGCTGGAATCAGAATCCGGAAAGAAATACAAGAAGAAGAGGGCCCTTACAACCAACACAATCTCATCATGTACCTGCTTAAAAAATTTTTTGTAAGTAATTAAAATTATTTACAAAAATTGCAATATTGATATACCACCAGTGCCGCTATTCTGTACCAAAAAAAAAAAAATATTTTCTTCCCCCACAAAATATTGTGAATTCAAGAAATAAAAATTACAAAAAAATAATAGGAAATATTTTACATAATTTGAAAATCAAGAAAAACGGTTGTGAATAGCGTTATAACAAATCCTAAACAAAATATTAAAAGTAAAACAAATTTATTACAATCGACTATAATGGAGTTTGCAGCCTTCAACTTTGTCCATTTTTGTGGTAAAGATTATTGAATATTTAAAATAAAAAAAAAAAATATTTTGAATTTTCTACACAAGAACAAATCTTCATATGATTTATGAAGCATAAAAATTAATTACTTTAATTGTAAATACGTGCCTCCTTTTTTAAAAAAAAGTGTTCTATGTTAATGTTGCAGTCATCCTTTAAAAATCAATAAGAATATAATGTATAAAATTATACATGTCTATAATATAAAAGTGGTAAATAATTTTTAGACCATATAATAAAAAAAAAGATAACAGTGTTCTTCACATTTAAGTGAAGTGCTCAATTAAAAAAACGGGATGCCAATAAAAATCGATGATAGATTATATAAACTTTTACTTTGTTACTTCATTTTTATATATATTTTTATTTTCTTTTTAGAAATTAGGGATAAAAATCGACGATAGATTGTATAATACTTTTTTTGTTTTTTAAACAATTTTTTTAAATTTCTTCAATAATTCATATTTAGAATATTTCTACTAAATTATGATTGTTTCATTAATAAAAAAGCATTTTCTATTTTTGGAATACTAAAAATATATTTAGTTAGGATGAATTTAATTACAAAAATTAGTGAGTTTAGTTTTTTTTTTAAATTTATTATACTAATTAATCTATTGAATCATTGAAGAATCATAAAAATTAGCATAAATAAACAATGAGAGAATTTGTCATTTTCGCGCAAAATTACTATGCTGTATAATTCAACGGAAGACGATGAACTTCACAATTGCATGAATGATGACACGTAGAAAGTCATTTGCAAGTGTTCATGGTAATAAATGGTATGTTTTCCGCGCGTGTGTGTTTAACAGATTATATATACATATATATACCACGTATAACCGCGATCATAAGTGAGAATCAGTAAAACCGGATTTCTCTCAATAACTTTTTTCGATTTCTCTTCCTTACTCAAAAATATAAGAACTCACATTAATAAAAAAAAAAAAAAGTTAAAAAAGTTTTACATTTTGTAAAATTTAATTTTTTTAAATAAAAAAAAAATTGCGACCATTACTTAAAATGGAAATAATTTAAATTTAACAAAAAAATATTTGTTTTTCAATTCAAAAATTCTGTTAAGATTTTTTACTGAAAAATTAATTTACATTCAAATAGAAAATAGAATACAATTTTTTCGAGTTTAAAAAAAAGTATTTAAATAGAAAATCGTTTGAAACTTTTAACTTTTTTTTCTCCCATTAGTATTTATTACATCTATCGTCGATAAAAATTTTCATAATCAATGAATGTTGCATAATAAAACTTTGTTTTATGATAATAAATTGTATATGTAATAATTTTTTCTATGATTTAATTTTTATTTCAAAAGACTGTTTTTTGAAAACGTGTAAAGCTCTATAAAATGTGGAGAAAAAGAGAGAGAGAGAGAGATCAAAATGTATTGAAGCAATCGATCAAAGTCTGACACGTTAAATTAAAATCCACTCTTGTACACAAGAAAGAGGTTTAAATATAATTTTTGAATGAGTGTGTGAGTGTATGATTAATTTGTTTAATTCAAAATTATTTACAATAATTAAAATAATTTTAGACAGAGCATAAAATAATTTTTTTTTTTTTTGTAAAATTTCCATGTCTTCGATAAATTTTTATATTAAAAATTTCTCTCTACAAATTATATAGGTTTTCGATATAGCCTATAATTATTTATTTTTATAATTTCTTTTTTTTTAATATTTTTTATAATGTTTAGAAAAGAGACGTTTAGAAATATTACTTAATGGGTGATACATATTTTTTATAAGTTACACAAGATAATGTTATGCATAATTATATAATAATGTATATAATATCATAAGTATAATATCTAACACCTTTCGTACAAATATGTCTTCAAAACTTCCTACGTTGCCTTGTAAATTAAAAAAGCTAGCGATATAAAAAATAAATATTGAAATTTAACAAAAAAACTGTTGTACTTCATTTAATTTTCCTTAACTTTAAGAAAATTAATTAATTAACAATAGTAATTTAAATATCCTCATTAATATATTTATTATTATAAAAATTTCCCAATCGTGATTAGTATAAAAATTTATTTTAAAAAAAACCAATTTTTTCAAAAAATAAAATTTGTCATAAGTTTGTTTCGAAGAAAATATTAATTTTTTTTGCCTCAAGATGACTTCGAAGAAAATATTTTGTATAAATTTTGAAGGGAATTCCCCAAGCTATATTGCGGATGAACCACTAAAATTTCCAGCATTTTTTTTTTGCAAGTGGAAGAAATGCACTCTTAAAGAATCCAATTCTTTTTTTTTTATATTGAGAAAAGAAGATTCGGGTCCGAAACTTTCCTTACTTAGTACATTGACCCTGGAAGACAGCACGCGAAGAAAGGAATTAAGGACTATACCCGCACAAAAAAAAAAATTGTAACGGAAATTGCTATTCTTACGTGACCAAATTTAATCGATTGAATGCAGATTACAAAAGTCATTTCAATGAAGAATAATAATAATAAAAATTGATAAGGTAAGTATTTCCCTTTATTTTGTTTTATAAAAAAAAATTTCGTTTTGTTTATTTCACGAATAGAAAATTATTATTATTATTATTATTATTATTTTCTTTATTAATTTATATAATTTTCTAAAAGGATATTTATAATTTAAGAATAACATTTCACTCAAGAATATGATTATGAAAAAAGGGGAAAAAACTTATCAATTTACTCTATTGTTATTTACAGTTGTCAATTATTATAACTTCCTTATAATTGCTTCATAACTATATATATAAAATATATTTTTAAAGGTTAATTTATTTCAAAGATGACAGAAAAATATAATTAGAAGAAACGGATATGAAAGATCGTTAATAATGAAGAAAAATAGATGAGATTAATTGAAAAAAAAATTAATAAGCTTTCTTCATTTAGAAAATGATATTTGTAAATGAGAAATGTCAATTTAAAATAGAAAAATCAATATACAAGGAAGTATAAGAAAATGGAAAATAACACATAATTATTGTATACTTTTTTCATAAAGGAAAATTTATGTAAGTGACAAACAATTTTATAAAAAAAAGAATTAAAAGGCAAAAAAAAAACCTAACTAACTAAAAATTTTCACAACCTTAGAAAATAAATTATTTTGAACAAAAAAAACGTTACGAAAGACAACAAGAATTTCTAAATACAAAAAATTTATCCTAATATTTTTATGTAAATTAATTCTCATTAGACAGGAAAAAATTAGACCTTATAAGAATTAATAAAATACATAAAAATGAGTACCAATTAAGAATTAGACAATTTTGATTTGATTCACAATAAAATTGTTTTGCAAAACTACAAACCGCAAATATATATTGCAATTGATAAAACTAAATATTCCTATCCATGTACTAATTCAAAGGGTAAACTACAACAGTTCTAAACAATCTTTTGTGTCTTTGAGAGACACGACAAACTTGATTAGCTTAATAGTGATAATCCAAGGAACTGTACGGAACGTGTCTAGAGCTTTAATTACAGTCCAGCCTTTGACAGTCATCTCTCTGTACAATTATATGTATATATATAGATGTCCCATGAATCAAGATTCCGATAAGAGGATCTAAACAAAACACACTAATACTACCTACTACTGTCAAAGAGAATTCAGTGACGATTACTGGCATAAGAGAGTGAATCCCCCACCAATGTGTGGGCCACCTCCTTTCTAGTCATTTGGCTTTGGGTAAAGGCCTTCCATCAGTTTGGTTTCCATCACACTGTGCTTGACCTTTTCATTGCGAGGATCCCCCCGTTTATATACTGTCATTTAAACACAAACGCATCAGAGAAGAATCGAACCGATTAGAGGTTTGAACGCGCTTTTCACGCGAAACGCATCGCGCAAAGTTTTTCTATTTTTATATATAGAACAAGTGTAAAAAAAAAGAGAACACTTTGGAGAAAATCAGTTTTTCATACGCAATTCTTCTTATTATCACACGAAAATTAACAAAAAAAAAAGGAGGATCTCCCTCGAGGTGAAAGTTTCCCTTGTATGCTGACATTGTAGGGTTACAAAATAAGGTTAGTGAATCTAAAACATCTCAAAATAGATTTTTATCTCCTTTCAAAAATTCTATTTCGAAAAACTTTTTTCTTAATTTTGCAATTTAAATTAAGATTTTTATAATATCAATTTTTTAAAATTCAAAAAATTTTCAATAAAAAATTTGATTAGTACAATTATTTTAAATCAAAAACAAATAATAAAAATATTTTTAGTAAATTTAGTGAATTAAACAAAAAAGAAAAAAATCATGTCGAAATGATTTTTTTTTTAATAATAAATGATTATAAATTTTCAATATGTATATTTTGAAAGATTACCAAAGTATGAGAGAGAAAAAGATGAGTTAAAATTCAGGGAATTTAAAATGATCCTTTATGTAAACACGTATAGCAAATATTTAATTTGAATCGTCGATTCCCACGTGGTGAATATAGAGGGATAAAGCTTCCGCATTGTCAGGGACGTTAAAGTAGGATAACACGCGATAGGTCTTACTGAAGTTTATACTGACACAATGCATTTGCGACGCAAATCTTGACACTTAGGTGTGAAAAAAAGTGAATCTAAAAAAATATTTTCTTTCTCATTTTTTTTTCTCAACTAAAAATTAAAAACAATATTTTATTTATGTAGATATAATATTTTTTCCCCAAAAATTATTATTATATTTCAAATAATAATAATAATAATAATAATAATAATAATAATAATAATAATTTTTCTTTTTACTAATTTGGGATTTTACCATGACATAATAATTTTATATAGCATTGTTTGTCACTTAATATAATTTATAACTTTTTTTAAATTATGAAAATTTTCAGTTATGTTTGCGTATAAATTCAATAACATAAAAACAATTTAAAAATAGTTTATGAATTTATTAATTTTTTTTTAAACATAACTGTAAATTTTTCATTTTATTCATATTTTCTAATTAATTTTAAATAAATGCAATTTTTTATCTTATCAGTCAAACGAGAATATGTAAAGTGATTAGAAAAATGTTTAATATTTTCTGAAATAATTTAAAATAAATTATCCAATTATTATCAAATAATAATTCGTTTTTAATAAATACAGGAACTAAGGAAATAATTTGTCGAATTGTTTTTTGGTTTTTTATAATTAAATTTATAATTTTAAATTACTTTTTTTTAATAATAATTACGAAAACAAAGTAGAAGCTATTTTTTTATTTGACCACAAATTATTCTGCTACATATATATGTAGTTAAGAAAAGAAGTAACAACTCTCATTCTTTTTGCAATGCATAAACGATTCTTCTAATAATATTCAAAATTTAAAATTTTTCCATTACTTTTAGTTGAATAGAAATAATATTTTATAACAGTAATATTAATTGCATTATTATAATTGAGTTTAGTTATGAAAAAAGTGTTCTATACATTTTCTCGTTAATTTATTTTTTCTCAAAAAAATACATTTTTTTATAAGAATAAAAATGGAAAATTTTAATTAGTTCAGTGTTTTATCGATTTTAAATTTAAAAATAAACTTGTATGTAATAAAAAATCAATCTTTTTATATATTAATTGTTGCAATGGAAAAACTAAGCTTAGAATATTTATCAATTTAGTTTATACGCGTTAATAAAAAAAAAAGTTAGATATATGGAAATAAATGAAATAAAAGAGAAGTACATATTATAACTAAATTTTTTCTAATTTTTTTCTCTTATATTTAATTCAATAAATTAAAGAAAAAAAATTGAGAAAAATAGTTATTTAATGTTAACTAAATTTTGCCTGACTTTGTATTTCTGAGTATAAAATTCTTTGTTTCTATATGCATACCTATGCAAAAAGCTTAGAATACTTTGAATGAATACAAATGTTATTTTGGCATTATAAAAATAAAAAAAATATTCTCAAATAATAGGTGTCTAAATTACAAAAATAATTTATATTACAAAATATGATATTTTCTCAAAATTATCAAAAAACAAAAGCAGAAAAATAAAAATAGTAAATTTCAAAATCAATAAAAAACAAAAAAAAATCAAATTTCAAATTCTTTTGTCGATAAATTGTTATTTCTAAATGAGTATTCAACACTCAAGACATGATGAACCATCGACTTTAGCTGTGCGCACACTATTGCTCAACATAGAAACACTTGTTGCATTATTTATTACTATAGTCATTTTGAGATATTTATGTATTGTTACAGGGTTATAACTTTGGTAACAGTATGATTTTAAATATGGTATTATATCATATTAGAGAACTAATTTTTATTCATTTTTAAATATAATGTCAACTTTCATTTATAAAACCGCGAATCTTGTATTTACTTTCCCGACACTTATGTAGTCTAGAATAAATAAACAAAAAAGTAAAAAAAAAATTATAAAATTAAAAATTCTAATTTTAACTTCAATATTTTTTTTAAAGAAATATTTATAAATAATAATATTCACCGCTTTTATAATTTTTCAATTACTCAAACATATTTCTAAGAGTTTTTCTCGATTATTTACTGGAAAATGAACCAAAAAAAGAACTCATTCAACCTCGCATAAATCCAGACAGGATTAAATTACTGCATGATTTGCTTAGAAAGTAAAACACCATAAAATTCTATCTGTCTGATGAAATGTTTCTAAAATCTGCTCATATTGTTTTAAATCCCAATTACATGAAATGCATGTTCTTAAATAATTCTAATTGTAATAATAAGTCTAAATTTTTTGTTATCTATTACCTATTATTTTTATCATTATTATTATTATTATTATTATTATTTATTAATTTATTTTATTATTAAAAAATTCATAATATTTAAAAAAAATTGTGTAAAAATAAAAGCAAATAATTATCGAGTTCAGGTCACTACTATTTCAAATGCTACCAATTTTTTGTACAATATATTAAATATTCATGATCTTCATCTGACGAAACCAATATATATAATGGATTAAGGATTTTATCCTAGATGCGCGATAATGCATCATCATCAAAAAAAAAAAAAAACTTAATCACTGACCATCGTATGGAAATGAATTTTTTGTATCCGAAAACTATCAAAGCAAAAATTCCATCATAACAGAAGTAAGCTAATTGTTAATAAGCTAAAATATCTCGACAATGAAAAAAGTTAATAATAAAATAAAAAAAATTAAATTCCAAGAAATATTCTCTATATATTTTTTTATAATAATTATTATTATTATTATATTAAGGATATTTAAATTTATTATTCATTGATATTGAAAATATTTCTGTCTCAATAGAGGATAATATGTTTATAAGAACCAAAAATATATCCAAGGTTTGGTGAATTGTTTGTAAAAATAGAAAACAGTTAAAGAAATCATGTAAATTTCAATGTTTTTGTGAAATATTTAAATATATATAAATTATATATTTGTGTGTTTACGTGAATGTGTGTGTGATATATAGGGACAAAAAAAAGAAATCGTTTTCACTTTTTTTTCGATTCATTCATTCAAGGTTAATTTTTATAAAAAAAAAAATATGTCAACTTATTAAAACAATTGTGTAACTATTTACATATAGTATCGAAATTTATGCAAAATAGAACAAAAAAAAATATAAATATTTCGTTTTTATCAAAAAGATTCTGATAATGTTTCTTTTATTCAATATTTTCCCCTTCGAGACAGAATTTTGCACTTCCTTAATATAACATAAATTATTTATAAAATAAATTATAAAAATTAATATTTAAAAAGGTTTGTTTTTAAATTAATTTAGAAATTTACCACTAATTTTCATGAAAAATATTTGTAATCCAATTTTTATAAAATACGTTCTAATTTTTTAATGGACGAGACAGTTTTTTTTAAACATTGAATACAATAAAGTTTAGTGGAGGTCGAACAATTTTCATTTGTTCTCTTTCGATGACGTGTCTATTCGTTTTGTCTGCATTGAAACGCGATGTACATGTCAGATGAAGAAGATTGATTGATATTACAATTTTAAGGGATTTACACTTTTTTTCGCGAATGTGTGATTCATTATTATTAAAGGGTTTGATATATCACTCTGACAAAAGTAAATTAATTGCAAAAAAAGAATAAAAAAAATAATTTTTCCAAATTTCTCGTTTTTCTATTCCAAAGTTATAATTAAATTAATCTAATTTTTAAAATATTTAATTTAAATGTAATAAATAGATTCCTATTACAAAAAAATTAACAATAATCCAATTCTAACAAAATTCCTCTAATTGATTAAAAAAAAAAAATTATTTGTTTAAGAAACAGAATAGAATGGTACATGTTATTTCATAGACAAAATTCTATGATGCTCATAATATACCGTTAAGAAATTTGGTTTAAAAGAAGTGGAAGAATGTAGAAAAAGAGAAAATCATCAGGTGACCTGATAACTGAGATTATATTTACGTAACAGTAAAAAATATGACCGAATCTAAAAATTCAAAATTTTTTCAGAAATAAAAAATTTTAAAGAAATGATTATTGTCAAAATATTAACAATGATAATGATAACAATAATAATAATAATAATAATAATTTTATTTGATTAATTTTTTTTTTGAATTATTTAACTATTGCTCCAATAAAAATAATTTACAAAAAAAAATGTAAATAAGATTAACAATGCATTTATTTTTAAATCGTATAATAAAACAATAGAAAATAAAATAGTCTTAAAAAATGGGATGTAATTGACAAAATTTTGAGAGACAGGTTGAAATTCCGGTTTTAAAGCTTCCTGTCATATCACCATATATTGCATAAACGATCATTCACATTTCATTTTGTAGAAAATAACAGGAATTTATTTGCCAGGGAGAAAAAGTAACAAAAATGTTAATGGGTCGCGTAAAATTATTATTATTATTATTATTATTATATGTAGAACGTAACTGAACTGTAATTGCTAATAATTAATTTAAAAAAATACAAGCCAACATTTTACAACTATGTATATATCTAACGGTAAAAAAAACATAAATTAGCCAAAATCGAAAAAAAGATGAGTCCGTACTATATACCGAAACTTTCTAGTCTCGAGAGAAATTATGCATTTTTTTTTTTTTTTTTTGCGACTTTGAGAGAAAAAAAGCATAATTGACTGACGACTTTCATTTTTGTTTTTTTTTTTTTTTTGACTCGACAAAAAAATGAAACAGTAAATAAATTTTTGAATTTTATGTTAATGAAAGAGAAATAGTATAATAATTTTTGACATGACTTGTAAGATTGAATGTGTAAGTTGAGTAGGATGCAAACGACACAAGATCGTGCAATTATTGTGTAATAGGACCTTTTCTCACTGAAAGTTTGCGTAATGAACGCAACACGTTCTTCCGTGTTGAGTTTATACGTGTAATTAAAAGAGTGCAAAATTTATAAATATAGAATCTAAACCTATACTGTCACCACAAAATATAATCTCTTAAATTTTGTATAATTTTTTTTTGCGAAAATAAATTAAATTTTGTAGAAAAATGAAAATTGGAACGAAAAAATTTAACTATTCATGAATATTGATAATAAGAATTTAAATAATTCTTTTAGAAGAAAACCCTACAATAATAAATATTACATTGCAAAATAACAAACTAAAAATATGGAAAATAGGAAATTTTTTTATAACAAGTAGAACAAAGAAAAGAAAGAAAATATATATGTATATACGCTTCCGCTAGAGGCAAAATAGTTAAATGCCCTTCACAAAAATTCATTACTCAAAAGCCACAAATTCCAACGTGGTTTTTCGTAATCCCGAAGGTGAAATAAGTCTCTACCTAATGTTAAAAAGAGAAAATCAGTATGAAATTACGTTGCAAAGCTTGTTCCAGGCAAATATTAAAATACTTCTTTCGGACACTATTCAAGGAATAAATATAAGGAAGATTGTTTTTAGAGTATAAATCATTAACACACGGATATGAGGACTTTAAACGATAAACAAATTCATTATTAATTCTCTAATTTTAATAACTTGAATCCTACTATTGATTTTAACTTAGTGATCATTTTTCTCCTATTCAAACATAAATTAAATTTATAGTATAGTAAAAAATAATAATACACAATTCAAATAGATTATTTTTATTTGATTTCAAATTCAAGAGGAATAAAATCACTTTTAATGAGATTTTGAATTATTAATTTTATATTCAAAGAAATTTTGTGTTATGAAAAATTTTTAAATGCTAATTTTTAAAAATTTTTTTGACATTCAAGTGCCACGTGTTATCAAGCATGTTACAACAAAAATGACCTCCTGCATTTGAAATCAAGCAGTTACCTACAAACTGTTGAAGTTCACGATCAACTTTCACTTTGCGACGCGAGATTGGCGCACACGTGTTACGTATTTGTATAAATATAATGAATTAATTTTTCTAATCCTAATATTTATTTATGAATTTCAACAATAATTTGAAAAAAAAATTATTATTTAGTTTCCGCACAAGTAAAAAAAAACAAACAAAAAATCGAGGAATCCTTGGAAGATGTGAATCTATATCATCATTCATTTAATATATTCATGTAACTTTGCATATTCTGGGACAGTAGAGAATTTTGATTCAGAGAAATAACTAAAATAACAAGTTTAGGTGAGGTAAAATACGAGAAATAACATATCTACGTCAGGAAGATTTTCCTTCTTCCTTTTAAATTATAATGGTTATCTAGATAAATTATTTTTAAACGAAAGATATATTAAATTATGTTCCACGGTCACAAAGAAAAGGGCATTTTGTAAAAATTATAATTTCTTTTTCTTTGAGAGAAAAATATAAATTTTTAATATACTTGTAAGTTTTAAAAGTCATTAAATTTAACTTTCGTTATCACGTTTAAACGTATATTCAACGAATACCTGTTATCAACAGAAAGAAAGAAATAAGGCAAAAACTAAGTTAAAGAGACCTTGTAGACCAAACAAATATTAATTCTTTTTCACTATTAACTGTCAATATTTTTTTTTTATCGTGCTACATTCTAAAGTGATTCAATTATAATAATAATTGAAAAAATAGTAAATATTTTCTTGAGCAAGTGATTTTTTTTTTAAAGCGCAAATATTCTTGTTTGTTTAGAATAAAACGAAAATGTCAAGTAAGAATAATAATTAAACAATAATAAATATGAAGTTTATAAAAAAAATTTTTATAAAGGAATTTTTAAAAACTGCAAATTTCTTCAATTAATTAATTATAATAATTTATAATATTTATCATTATAATTATATTAATAATAATTATAATAATAATTATATTATATGGATTATTATTTTGAGTTTTTAGTCATATAAATTTTTTATGATTAAAAGAAAATTATAGAACAGTAGAAATGAAGAAGCCGACATATTATCCTTTGGAAAAGTCATTTCGACATTGAATATATCCAACTTGAATAATAATCAGTTTACAATGAACCAAGAATTTTTACCACATACATTTTGCTTCAAACATATCAAATTTTCTCATTTTTAACAAATTTTATATAACTCTCTCGAATTTATTGAAATCACTGAGAAAAATATTTTTTAACAAATATATATATAGAATTATATTATTTAAATATTTAATTTATTTTTTATATGTTAATAATAAAAAATATAATAATAATAATAATAATAATAATATAAAAAATTTTGTTGACAATATTTTTCTTTGTCACTGACTATTTTTATTTTTTCAATATAAAAAAATTTGAGAAATGACTCATTGTTTTAGAATCTACAAAAATGGTTGAAATCTTACTAGAGTCAGGTGGACAGGAAGTGGCAACAGCCGAAAGTGGATCGAGGGCAGGAACGCCAACAGAATGTACAAAAAAATTACAAAACAATATATCTAACGAAAATTTGAATCTCACACCTATTCAAGAATTTTATGTGGGACAAAGTATTTTTATAACTGGAGGAACTGGATTTATGGGAAAGTTATTAATTGAAAAATTATTGCGAAGTTGTCCAGGAATTGCATTTATCTATCTTTTGGTACGACCAAAAAAAGAAAAAGACGTCCATCAGAGAATAGAAGAATTATTTGATGACGCTGTAAGTATGCACAATACCTAAATTAAAAAAAAAAAAATTTAATTATCCAATATATATAAATTATATTTAATATTAAAAATACATTAAAAACAGTTTATCTTTTAATTTCAAAATGTCATGATATCTACATGATAGTCACCTAATAATGATTTAATTATGAAATCAACTCTTGTTAAGGAAGTAAATTATTCAAATTCACAGTGTCTACTGATTTACATGTTCGATTGCATGAACATTTACCATATTAATGCACAAATGTCAATTAGTAATTCAAATAAGTCTCGAGCCAATTACTTTCTCATAATATGTTTACTTTTTTGATAACTTCTTATTAAAAAGAAAATGTATGTCAGAAAGGGTATTTGTTTCTACAAATTCTGAAAAAATTATTTTTCTTTCTCTCAAATATAAACTGTGTTTAATGATCATTAATATTAATGTCTCAGTATTGATCTCACTGACGATATATTGTAAAAACACTTAATCTATTTTAATATTCAATCTCTAGACATTTATTACGTATTTATAAGTTAATATTTTATAAAATGGAATCAAATAATTTCAATTAATTTTCTTATTAATTAATTTTAAAAATTAATTAAAAGAAATTTAATTGATTTTATATAATTAAATAATATTGATATAATAATGTGAGTATTTTATAGCTTTTTTCTAGATTAAAAGAGGAACAACCAAAATTTCGCCATCAAATTGTTGCAGTCTCAGGAGACTGCGGTTTGCCAGGACTTGGATTATCTTCATCAGATAGAACAACATTGATTCGTGAAGTGTCAATTGTCTTTCATGTAGCAGCCACAGTTAGATTTGATGAAAAAATAAAACTAGCTGTTGCCATAAATGTTCAAGCTCCAAAGGAAATTATATCTCTTTCGAAAGAAATGTCCAATTTAAAAGTACGTCGCGCATTTAATTCAATTTTTCTTTTTTTTTAAATTATTCAAATTTCTTTTACCTTTTTAAAAATACTATTTTTTAATTTAATAATGATAATTAATTAATTCACCAAAGATTTGCGAATGTTATAGCAAACTGATTAATTTTTTACAATTAATTAATTTCAAAATTAACAAAAAAATAAAAGTATTTTAATGAAGAAAGCAAAGTTAATTAATTTGAATATTAATTAACTTTGATCACTTGGAAAAGTAATTTTTTATTTTTTATTTCAGTCGGTTATACATGTATCAACTGCCTATGCAAATTGTCCTCACAATTCGATTGAAGAAAAATTTTACGATCCACCAATGGAAGCAAATAAACTTATTACACTGACTGATTGTGCTGATGAAAAACTAATCGATTCTTTAACACCACAGTAAGTTTAATTCTTTTGTAATTTAGGTCAAAAATATTAATTATTTACATGAAATTTTAATTTTTAAATAGAATATATATTTTTTTAAACTTTTTAACAAATATTCCATTAATTAATTCAACAATGACTAATAAAAAGAATTTTTCCCCGTAGATAATTTTAATTATTCATAAAATTCATACAAAAAAGTTTTTCATTTTTATTCTAATTTGCTTTTTAAAGTATCATAGATTACAAAAGTTACGTAAATATTGAATGAATTTAAAAAAAAAATATTGAAAATAAATGACGGTTTCATTTTGAGGGCCATCAACTTCGTTGACGTCAGATTTTCAAACAATTCACACCTCTTTGAAGGAGAAAAAAAATTATGTTATCCTCAGTTTCTTGGAGTTGATTATAAAAAAAAAAAAAATTTTCCTTGAACTTTTTTTTTCCCTCACATCATAATTCATATAGTAAAATTTAAATATGCATGAAATCGTATGACACAACTAGACATATCAACAATTATATTTTAAAAAATAGTGAATTGATAAGACTGCAGAAAATCGAAACATAAAAAAAAATGACACTTTTGCTTGTAGGTTATTAGGAGGATGGCCTAACACTTACACCTACACAAAAGCTGTCGCTGAAGAAATCGTTAAGAAAGAAGCTGGCAACTTGCCTGTTGGAATATTTCGACCTGCGATTGGTAAGATGATTTACATTTTCATATACATTTTTTTTTCTCTCATTTTCGATGAAACGAAATTCTTATTGTATCATCATGGTGAAAAAAAAGTTGAAAATAAAAAAAGAAATACTTTTTTTTAAAGAAGATGAAAAAAAGTGAAAGTAATTCACTCGGGGAATTCCTTTTACTCGAGAGATGATTTTTGTAAATAGTTCGTAGAATTAATGGTATTCAAAAAGAAAAAAAATATTGGGAATCCTTCCTCTTAAGAGTTTGATCTTTTTTTTTAATCCTTACAAAGCAGAATTCTCGTTTTTCTTTCTGAAACTAGTTAAAGTCAAAATTAACGAATTATAAAACTAGTTTTATATTTCAAGGATTTAGAATCTGATTTTTGTGATGACAATATTTCTCGTAATGATGGACAGCTATAAAAAAATTTATAGATTTAAAAAATGAATAATAAAAACTTTTATTCTTTTTTAAAAAGTTATAGTTCTTTTTAATTGTTTTTTTTAATGAATATTGAATTTTTTAAATTAATTAAAAATTAATTAAATGCAAGGGAAGAAATTAAAGTTGAAAGAAAAAATAACTTTCCAGTTTTAACACTATAACTATAACTATGTAGTGAGTTTAATTTTTTAATTAAATTTTATTTCAATTCAATTATTCAAATAATAATTATAAATTATAATATTTATTATTTGTAATAAAAGAAATTAATTATCAGAAACAATTAAAATTTTATTGTGAATGGAAAACAAAATAAAAGATAATGAGATTTTTCTTGAATTGTAATTTAGCGGTTTAGAATTAGTAATTTTCCGAAGTGTGAGATGAGGAATTTGCTTTGTAAAGAAAAAAATTACTTTTAGTTGTATCAACATATAAAGAACCTATTCCGGGATGGATAGACAATATGTATGGACCAACTGGAGTAGCTGCTGGTGCCGGAGCAGGATTACTTCGATCTATACATTGTGATGGATCATTAAAAGCCAACATTGTACCTGGTGATTTGACTGTAAATGCCTTAATTGCCTCTGCCTGGGATGTTTCTAGCAAGAAAAGGTATAAAAATCTCAACTTTTTTATTTTCCGACTTTCCAAACTCTATTAACCATAATTATTTGATTTCAATTTTTTTTTTTTTTTAATTATTAATCTTGAACAATTTGTTTTTTTCAGTCTCGACAAAGAATCAACGAATGAAATACCAATTTACAATTTTGTTTCTAAAGACAATCCTGTAACGTGGGACGAATTAAAGGAAATGTCAGAAAAATATGGAATTGAAGTTCCATCAATTAGATCAGTTTGGTACTACAGTTTTAGAAATAATAAATACAGATTGATTCATTTATTCTACGTATACTTTTTTCACTTATTACCTGCACTTTTGGTTGATGCAATTTGCATTTGCATGGGTAAACAATTAAGGTAAGATGAAGAATTCTACGAAAAGATCTTAAAATTCTCCAAATTATCATTCAAAAATGCGAAAAAAATTTACATTTATCTTTTTTTTTGGGGCGGGGGAACAGATTAATGAAAATCTACAAAAAGATTCATAGGTTTATGGACGTGCTCAATTATTTTACAACAAAAGAATGGAAATTCTCAAATGACAGGGTACACAATTTGATAAACAGAATGTCAGCAAAAGATCGTGAGAATTTCTCCTGCGATATGAGAGAAATAGTTTGGGATACGTTCTTCAAAACTTATATCAAAGGAATTCGAATTTACTTGATTAAAGACCCTATGGAAACTCTACCGCAGGCGCGAGTAAGATGGCAAAGGTATCTAAATTATTATTATTATTATTATTTAAATAATTATATTATTTTTAATTGCTAAAACCCTTCTTTTTAAACTCAAAACATGTGCGAGAATTATAGACAAAAATCTAGATATGTAATTTACTAAAAATTTTAAAGTTTAATTTGTAAAAAAATTAATTTTTGCAAAAAGTAATTTTTTTTTCAAATTTTAGCGTGATTAATTTAATATGGCCTTTTAATTTTTTTTATCATTTTGTTTGTAACGTGTTTAATGTGAATAGCCTTTTCTTAAAAAGTTTTGAGGAAGAAACTTTTCACCAAATAAAAGTCGAATAGCGAAAAAGGTGAACGTTTTGTCCCGATTGTAATGTCACTATCTCTTCCTTCTCAATGGAAAAGTGTCTTTCTTAAAGGTCCTTTCAACTTTTAGGCAAAAAAAAAAAAAGTTACAAGAGACTGAAATTGGTGACGAAAAAGCAATTCAACATTTCGAGTACTACTATTTGTTAGTTTGATCATTGGGACAAAATGTTAATTTTCTTTTTTATCAGAAAAAGTTCTGAATAATTTTTCTAAAACATTATTTTACGTTTATAAAAAAAAATTTGTAAAATGATTAATTTTGAGAAATATTTTTCAGAATGTACTGGCTTCATCAAGCAGTAAAAGTAATACTTGGATACATTGCAATCAGACTAGCTTGGATGGTTTTATCAACGATTATTTCGTTTTTTATCTAAAAGCAAAATACAATTTATATAATTGAAGGAATCTCCAAAAGTGAAAATCTCTTTTTAATTGAGAAGAGTGTATAGAATTTTAATGACGAGAAAAAAATATTTGATCTTTTTCGATTAGCAAGTGAGCGGAAGAGAGTGGAAAAATAAGAAACATGAAAATAGATAACACAAAATCTTCTTATAAAAAGTGATAATGTGATAAACCACGAAATTTGTACTAGAAGAAAGAGAACGGACCGAAACAAATTTTGTTCACAGAAAAAAAAAAAAATAATTATAAATTATAATCAATAAAACAAGGAATAAAAAATTTTAATTAAAAATTTACTAGTAAAAAATTTATGAAAAAAAATTATAAATAATGATTTTTATAAATTAACGCGAAACGTTCTATTACTGTAATTAATAAAAAAGTATCCCACAATTTAATGTACAATTCTAGAGTTTTCTAGATTAATAAATAATGGGTATTTATAAGTTATAATTATAGTGTATTTAAATTAAAAATTTGTTTTTATATTTGCCTTATTTATAATAAAGACAGCATTTTTGTAAAATATAGTTTTCAAGAGAATTTCAGTTTGAAAATTCCTTTTCCAAATCCTCAGTTTTTTGTTTCAACAAAAATATTTCAAAAATTCAATCATAATAAGGAATTTTTTAATTTAAAACAAATATTTTTTTGACTCACCGATTTGAAGATTTTGATGTTGGAAAGTTGAAAATGTAGTCCTTTTTTGATAGTCTGTCACTGCAAATGGACATTTTCCGTGAGTAGTAGACAATTCTCATCTGCAATTTCATAAAAAATTGTTAATTTCATTAGTATAAAAAAATATATCATAAATAAAACAGCTTTTTATTTATTATTTACTTTTTATCACTTTATAGTATATAAAAATCATAAGTTTCAAAAAAAGAAATAAAATTATTCGACATATATCACGTTTGCCATGAAATTGGAAATAACGTAATAATAATTTTCAATGATTTTTCGAAACATTTTAATTAATGTATGACACAAGGTTATTTATATTTATCAGTGTTTTTAAAAAGGAAAACAGTTAAATTAAGATTTTGAATCAAATCAAACGATTATAAAAACATTTTTCATACTGCCATTTCATAACCCTACTTTTTATATCACAAATTGTTGGAATGAACTTTTGGATATTTTTCAACTACGAAAATAAGGGTTTCACTCACCAATTTGTAGGTTATGATGTTCAGATGCTTCAAATCGATAATTTGTCAATAATCAAAGACAATTTACAACAAATAATCACTCGTAAAAAGAACTATATGATTGTTAAAAAAAAGACGCGCAATGTGACAAAAATAACTATTGCACTGTTAAGCAATTAAATGGTGTCAACTTTTAAATATCTCTTATCAGCAGTGTCACAAATACTTCTACAGATTTACACAAAAAATATTTTAAACACACAATTAGATTTTAATCAAATCAAAGTATAAAATACAATTCTTATAACGGGCGCATGGCCACACTCAACAAAACGTTGCAAAATGCCGGGAACGTGAACATTAAGAATAAGTGCTGCCAACTTCGTGCGAACTAACTTTTAAGATGGCGCTGTCGGCTCACGTGACTGCCGCAATTCAAATATTTGACCTTTCACAATAATTTTATTGATTTCTTTAATTATTAGATATTTAATTCTCTAAATAATTAAACAATTTATAATAAAAATTTTCTAAATTTAACAAAATTAATTAATTACATGTAAATTACATAAATAATTTGAAAATGAATAAAATATCATTTTACGTATGTTTGACACGATATTCGTAAAGTTTTTCTATTTTTTTTTACTTTTGCATATTTTATATTTAATTAAACTTTTGTTTCTAATTAAAATAATTAACTTTAATAATTTGTTTGTTAAACAATATTATTTAACAAAAATTCAGTACATTTTCTCAAAATTATTTTTATTAAAAGTGGGAAAATTTTTGCAAATAAAATTTCTTTGTATTTAAAAAAATAATAATTTTCACTAAAAATTATTGATTTTAATCTAAATCAAGAATGTGATATTAATGATGATTTAATTAAAAATTAATTATAATTAATAAAAAAAATTGAAATTAATATTAATTAATTATTTATGAAATAATTATTAAATTTTATCGAAATATTAATAAATAACAAATATCAGAATAATGGATGGAATTTTTCTGTTTAAAACAATTATTTTTTTGACTCACCGATTTGGAGATTTTGATGTTGGAAACTTTAAAATGTAGTCCTTTTTCGATAGTCTATCGTTGCAAATGGACATTTTTCGTGTGTAGTAGAGAATTCTCATCTGAAATTTAATAAAAAAAAAATTGTTAATTTCATTAGCATAAAAAAAAACAAATAAAACACCTTTTTATTTATTATTTACTTTTTATCACTTTAAAGTGTATAAAAATCATAAGTTTCAAAAAAAGAAATAAAATTATTCGACAAATATCACGTTAGCCATGGAATTGGAAATTACGTGATAATAATTTTCAATGATTTTTCGAAATATTTTAATTAATGTATGACACAAGTTTATATATATTTATCTGTGTTTTTAATAAGGAAAACAGTTAAATTAATATTTTGAATAAAATCAAATGACGAAAAAAACATTTTTCACGCTGTCATTTCATAACCCTACTTTACATGTCACAAATTTTTGTAATAGAATTTTAGATATTTTTCAATTACGAAAATATATGTTTCACTCACCAGTTTGTAGGTTATGATGTTCGAATGCTTCAAATCGATAATTTGTCAACAATCAAAGACAATTTACAACAAATAATCACTCGTAAAAAGAAGAACTATATGATTATGAAAAAAGGACGCGCAATGTGATAAAAATGACTATCGCACTGTTAAGCAATTAAATGGTGTCAACTTCTGAATTTCTCTGATTAGAAGTGTCACAAATATTTTTACAGATTTACACAAAACAATACTTTCATTACACAACTAGATTTTATTCAAATCAAAGTATAAAATTCTATTCTTATAACGTGCACATGGCAACATTCAACAAAACGCAGCAAAATGCCGGGAACGTGAACTATAAGAATAAGTGCTGCCAACTTCGTACGTACTAACTTTCAAGATGGCGCTGTCGGCCCACGTGACTTCCGCATTTCAAATATTTGAATTTTCACAAAAATTTTATTTTATTATTTATTGATTAATTTTATTGATTTCTTTAATTATTAGATATTTAATTCTTTAAATAATTAAACAATTTACAATAAAATTTATCTGAATTCAATGAAATTAAATAATTCCATGTAAATTACACTTGAAAAAAAAAATTGTTTCGCTAATAGAATTTCTTTGTATTTAAAATACTATGAATTTTGAATAAAAATTTGTGATTTTAGGCAACATCAAGATTGTGACATTAATAATGATATGATTAATAATTAATTAATAATAATAGTAATAATATTTAATAATAATTATTAAGAATAATAAAAAAATATTTTTTTAAAATTAATATTAATTGATAATAAACAAAATAATTTTTAAATTAATATCAATTAATTATTGACAATTAAATTATTAATTTCAATCGAAATATTAATTTGTAAATCAATAATATCAGAATAATGGAAAATGAGAAAAAATTGTACCTAAAATAAAAATATTAATTTTATACGAATTTCTAGAAAGTTGTCAAACTTGAAAGAACGAATAATGATTAAATTGATTGAATCCATTTAAAATAGATGGATATAGTATCTATATATTCGGGTATAAAAATTTGAAAATTAGAATAATACTTTGATTATATTATTCGGGTCAATGAAACGTCAAGGCCCTTTCTAGAATAGTTTATAATTCCAAGCAGTGGGAATACCATGTGTCGTATAATAAGACCCTTTTGCAAAAGGTGGTTAGAATTTAAATGATATCAGGTAGATAAAACTTACATGACTCACTTGAAAGGAATTACTTTTTTTTTTTGCAAAATTTATACTTTAATTATTCCATGGTTATTATATTCATATAATTTTATGTAATTTCTTTAAATACCCAATTTGCATAAAGAAATAAAACTGAGTTTAAAAAATATATAAATATCTAAATTATGAAATGTGTCAAATGTCAAATACTGCTATTATTATAACAAACGTTAGACTTTTTTTTTATTATAAATATTTATAAAATTATTTTTAGAAATATAGAAAAAAAATTTTCATTTAAAAAATTTTTAAAAAATAGTGATTTTTTTTAATTTAAGAGAAAAACGAAGCAAAATTGAGATGAAAGTAAAAAAGACTATTGTTTGGAAAAAAAAAATTTGTGATAAAATAGAAATTCCATAGAAAAGGCACATCTTTAAGTCATAAGTAAAATGTAAACGCAATGAATAAATAATCAGTCCCAAGGGTAACCATTGTTCCCTTATATACTTGCACAAAATAGAATGCGGAAATGCAAATTCTAAAATATTAAAAAAGGAAAAATATTCTCTTATAAAGAAAGTAATTATTAATTTTGCCAAAAAGGTCTGTCAGTTTTATGTAGATTTATATTCATATTAAAAAAAAGTGGAAATTATTAAAAATATTATTTTTATAATAATAATAAAAATTATTATTATTGTTACAATTATTATTATGGTACTATTATACATTTGGATAATTTTATACATAATATTAAATTGTTTTATTTATTTGTATAGTTTTTATTTTGAAAAAAAATTATAAAAATTAAATATTTTAAAGTGCAATTTTGGAAAATGGATTTAAGGGAACAAAAGATAGTGAAACCTAATTAATGGCTTTTCATAAAATTATGCTGGATGCATCATTCATGCTCCTGTTTCCTACTGCAAGCTGCACTTGACGTGGGTAGAATTATATAAATTTATCTGAATCATGGAATCATGCTTTGGTTTAATTCATTCGTATTTTTTCTATGTCATTTAAATAAAAATATCGCTCACTACTTTATCGTGAAAATGATAATTTGAATTCAATTTATAAAAAAATTTGCAATAAAATAAAAATTTTTATTATAGCATAAAAAAAACATTTTTCGAGTTTAAAGTAATTTTTTTACGCAAATAAAAATATATTTATTCACTAAATTATAAACTGTTTTCTGAGTATTTTTAATAAAGTATAATTTTTTTTATGAAACTGTATTTAATTTGAATTAAAGTGGAATTTTTTCCAAGGAAAAGTATTTTTTTTAAATTTTTTTTTAAATTACAAAAAAAAATTTTTTAACAACAAAAAATATTGTTTTTCTGCAAAATATTTCTCTGATTTAAAAATAGTTTTCCTTGAATCTGAGAAACAATATATTTTACATAGAAACAAAAGTATCTTACGAATCAAAGAAAGTATTTAAAAAAAATAAAATAAAATTTTTAATTAACAATTAATCAAAAAAATAAGTAAAAAAAATGATTGTTTTAAATTATCAAGAAGAAGGATTTTTTTTAATGATAAACCAAAAATAAAAAATTGGTTTTGATCTCCTTGTAAATTTAAAATTCAAAGTTAATGGAAGGGGTAGATGAGCTAACTTACTATATAAACCAAGTATTCAAGAGTGACTACGTTGCACTCTATATCTGGATTTCATACCGTATAGTAAAAAAATTTACATCCATTGAAATGATTAATTATCAATTATTTAAATGAATTGTGAATTTTATAAAGAATTTATTTGCTCTATATTTTTGTGTCCCAGTGTTTTGTTTTATGAATTTTAATACATAAAGTTTAAAGAAAAAGTAAGTACATAAGAAATTTTAATTATTTTAATTTTAATTTCATTAATTTTAATAAATAAAATAATAAATTTATAAATATTATATTAGAAATTTATTAATTAGTTATTAAAAAAAACGATCATTTTATTAAATAAATTTTGTATTTTAAACAAATTTAAAAACAAACAAAAAAATCTATTTGTTTATTCTTTTAATTTTATATTTATTTATATTACTCTATATAAATTTTTTTTCGTTTTTTATTCATTATTTATACTTAACTAGTTTGCATATAGTGTGTAATAAATTTTAATCAAGTCAATGAAAAAAATTTTAACATTACAATATTTCAATATAAAAAACAAAAATTATTGCAAAAATTTTTACATCTTTAGAAAAAAAACATGTTCTTTTGAATTAGATTATGTCCTTGTAACATAAAACATTAATTATATTACATGTCATCATAAATCTGTGTTTTTAGACTAATGAATCTTTCTATATTTTCATTGTATTTTATGTTCAACTTCATAAATACAATAAATTACAGACAAGAAAAAAATATTTACTTGATTCTTTTTTTTCACCAGTTGCAATAAAGAGGTATTTTAAAAAATTAATTTTTAATATTTATGAATAATACTTGGTCAAAGTGACAAATCTATTAATAAATGAATTAAAATAATGATTAATTAATAACTATTTATTTAATTTAATTAGAAAAATTTATGGATCTCTAAACGTTTAGTATTTGATATTATAAAATAAAATTTATAAAAAAATGTCAAGCATTTACGATTTTTTATAAAATTAAAATATTATTACATTTTTGTAATTAACATCAGCCCATGTTGAAATTTGTCAATATAAACAATAAATATGACGATCATTGTTTTATTTTTTGACTACGTATTGTCGGTACAAAATATTAAAAATTAATCATCGAGTATAAAAAGTCTTTACAATTTAAAATAAATTCTAAATTTTTTTTGAAAATAAATTTTTTTATAATAAATAAATAGTTCTTACTTGGTAGATGTAGATTTTCTCTGAGATTTTCCGACAAAAAATAGTGTTCTCTGGATGCAACTTTTTTTTATCTGAAATAAAAATTTTTAAAAAATTATTTATCAATTCATTTCTATAATTTGATAATCATTAATAAATATATTAGAAATTTTAAAATAATTCTTTTTATATTATAATTTTAATTTCATAAATTGTCACAAAAATGAAGAAAACGATTATTTAAATTTTATTAATAAAATAAATTTTGTATTTTGCCTCAATTATTCTTGTTTACACATTAAACGAGAAATTTGTTGACCGCCAAAAGAATGATTTTCATGACTTGAGCCATTTTATCATTGTCAGCATTTTTCCAATTTGATCATAAAATTATGCAATAAATATTGCAAATCAGCCACGTTAATTAATCTTTGATATAAATTTTTTGTCTCTCCATTTTTTATATATTAGCCTTTTTTCTTGTTTATTGAGTAATTTTTTTCTATTTACATTGCATATATAAAGTGAAACATGAATTCTCAAAGTAATTATAATATGCAATCTTGTATCAATTTAAAGTTATCAATTTTTTTTACAATTTACATATTAATCATTTGCTTAAAATTATTTATATTTATGTAAGAGATTTATGTTAAAAACAAAAATAATCGTAACATATTTAAATAGTTTTTTTTTGTTAATAATAATAAGAAAATTTTTTTTAGATAAGAAACATGAAAGAAAAATACGAAATCGAATCAAGAAGTGAAATACAGAATTTTTATGCCGAAGAAAGTGTACTAATTACAGGTAAATATATTAAATTATTGTTATGTAAAATAATAAGCAGAGAAAATTTTATTACAACCGAACTTCTGCGTTAAATAAAAATATTTTGTTACAAATTAAAATTTTGTTTAGTTAAAATTTTATTTGTCACAAATAGTTTTTTTATTTGAACTAAATAAATATTTATTTTGCTCTAAGAAAATTTTTTCCATTAAGAAAAGAAAATTCTCAATTAAAAAAAATTATTTCTTTTTTTTTAAATGAAATTTTTCATTTCCAATAAAATTTTATATTAAAATTAAATTTGTAATTACTTTGAAGTCTGTATGAAAATGAATATATAATAATTTGTTAAATAAATAAGAAAAAAATATATATATGGTTTTAAAAAAAAAGAAAAATGTTTGCAGGTGGTACTGGTTTTCTAGGAAAGCTCTTGATTGAAAAGCTTCTCAGAAGCTGCCCTGAGCTTACTTGTATCTACGTTATTGTAAGACCAAAAAAGGGCCAAGAAGCTCTGAATCGATTTGAGCAGATTTTCGAGGACCCGGTAAGTGCTTTACATTGTCTTTTCCTTACCCAAAGAATAGAGGTATAAGGTACAGAGAGAAGACACACACAAGAAGTGGACTTTTAAAAGAATTTAAAAACACAACAACCGCTTCATCACTTTCCCAATTGCACACACCACTGAGATAAAAGAAATTTAAAATGATACGAAATAAAAAAAAAAAAGAGAAAAAAAAATTCCCCACTAGACAGAGAGAAAAATCGCTTCAAATATATTTTTAAAAAATATTCCAAGCATGACAATAACAAAAAAAATATATAAAATTTAAAAGTTTCAAATTTCAATTTTTTTTTTAAATAAAAAAAATAAATAAAATTTTATTTTATTTATTGAATTTTCTTTCTCAATAAAAATATTTTGATTTTTACGAATTAATGCGATTTTTTTAAAGTGAGATGAATTTTTCAGATATTTGATCGACTAAAAACAGAAGTACCAAAATTTCAACATAAAATACAAGCAGTAAATGGTGATTGTACACTTCCCGGTTTAGGAATATCAAACAATGATAGAGAATTTTTATTGAATAAAGTTTCCATTGTCTTTCATGTGGCAGCAAATGTCAGATTTGATGAAAAGTTAAAGCAGGCAGTTTCTATCAATGTTAATGCTTCAAAAGAAATCATTGAACTTTGCAGATGTATGCTTCATTTAAAGGTAAAAAATTCTATATTTTTATATATAATTTCAATAGAAAATAGTACATACTAAATTTAATAATTTAATTAGTTTATTTTATAATTTAATAATTTTAATAATTTAATTAGTTTATTTTATAATTTAATTAAAAATTTTTTTTTCTAATTTATTAATAGGCTTTTATTCATGTTTCCACATTTTATTGCAATTGTGTGAGAAGAGAAATTGAGGAAAAATTTTACGAACCACCAATGTCAGGTAATTCACAATTTTTATAAATATTTTTTTGTGGTAATAATTCAGTAGTAAAAGGGATTTTCAGTCAGACCAAAAAAGAAGACTTTTTTTTAGCAACAGATTCATAATAATTTTTGATTAAATAAAAATTTTTTTTTGTATTAGGTGATAGTATTATAAATTTAGTCGAGTCGATTGATGAAAAAAAATTGGATGACATTACCAATGTTTTAATTGGTGATTTTCCAAACACCTATACTTATACAAAAGCTATTGCCGAACAAGTGGTAAAGCAGTATGCCAAAGGTCTACCCGCAGGAATATTTAGACCTGCAATAGGTATTATTTTATAATTATTAATAAATTTATAATTTATAATTATTAAAATTTTATTATTTTTTATTCTTATTTTATTATTTTTTTGTATTTTTTTTTTTATGAATTTATACAATTTTTAATTTTGTCTATTTTAATGAATTTTTTTAGTGATATCAACATATCAAGAACCAGTACCTGGATGGGTGGACAATGCTTTTGGACCTACCGGTGCAATGATTGCCGGTGGTGCTGGTATTTTAAGAGTAATACATGCTGATAATTCAACAAAAACAGAAACAGTTCCAGCAGACTATACTATTAATGCACTTATTGCATCTGCCTGGAATGTTGCAAACGAAAAGTAAAATATTCTGTTTAATATTATTAATTTTCAATATTATTTAATATTATTAAATTATTATTACAATAATTTCAATATTATTTAAATTTTATTAAATTATAATAATAATAATAATTATTATTATTTCAATATTATTTAAATATTATTAATTAATTAATTTTTTTTAAATTCAAAAAATGTTTTTTTTTTTCAGAAACATAAATGATGAACCATTTATTTACAATTATTGTTCATCATGGTCAAATACCATAACAATTGGTGAATTTTGGCAATTAGCATTAAAATATGGAAAACAATTACCAAGTGTCAAAAGTTTGTGGTGTTATAGTTTGACTGTTGTGACAAATTATTATTTATATTTTATTCTATGTTTCATTTTGCATATAATTCCTGCAGTTATAATTGATGCTGTACTCTTTCTTACTGGCAAAGAAACCAAGTAAATGACATTCATTAATGGAATTAAAAAATAATTACTACTATTTACAATTAAATATTCCAGTAGTATAAAAAAAAAACTTTTTTTTAATAAAAAAATTCTTTAATTTTAATTCTTTATAAATAAATTTTTAATTTTCAGAGCAGTTAAGATTTATAAACGAATTCACAAAATTTTATCTGCGACATCGCATTTTGTTTTACATCAATGGGAACCTAATCTTACAAGAACAAAATCACTTTGGCAGAAAATATCAGCGAAGGATAAAATGATATTTCCATTTTCAATGGATAATTTTAATTGGGAGGATTATATGCAAATTTATGTTCAAGGCTTAAGGCTTTATATGTTTAAAGAGACTTTGGATACAATACCAGCAGCTAAAATTCGGATGCACCGGTATATAAATTATTATTATTTACATAAAATCTCAAATAAGTAAACAAAATTAAAGAATTTAAATTAGTAATCTTAATAAAAAAAATATATTTATTTAAAAAAAAAAAACTAATTTTTTATTTATATATTTAAATATAATAAAAAATAAATAATAATTATTATTTATAATTTTAAAACTATTATTTTTATTAATTAAAATGAATTTTTTACAGGCTGTTGTTCGTTCACAGAACAATGAAATGCATATTGTTGATGTTAGTAATTTGGGGTTTTTATATTTTGATTTCCTTTATTTTTTCACTTGGCTGGAAAAGTGAATTCACGAATATCAACGAAATATTAATGGAGCGATAAAAAAAAAAATTATTTATTTCTTTTTTGTAAATATTATCTTATTAAGTAAGATCGATATTCACTGTAAAAATAAAAAAAAGATAATCATTGTAAAAATAATAAAAAAAAACAATATATTCAATGTATAAAATCCTATATGTATTGTTATTTTGCCCCTGAAACATGATGACCCGTTTTACAGTGTTGAAATATTGGAAGCATATACATAGGAGTTCATAATGCAATATTGTTTCATATATCAATAAAATTTATTAGCTTAATTTTTTTTCCTACTGCTTAATTTTCAACTCATTATTTTAATTACTTTTTACATTGTTTTCCTTTACATAATTTTTAATTACTTTAAAATTTTTTTTAATTTTCAAATATTTTGCAATTAACATTTTTTTTATTTTCTTGTGCTATATTTTATACAAGTACAATTAGTAGAAAATATTTATGATCTATAAATTATTAATTGTATGTTATGAAAATAAAGAATGGGAACACGAAATAATTTTTTAAATAAAGTCATATTAGAATTTATAAAGTATGGAAATATGACATAATTGTTTTCTCATTTAATGATAATTATTATTGAAATTTGCAAAATATTTGTTATAATTTTAATAATTACAATTTTCTTTTATATATATAAAAAGAAAATATTTTCAATTTGAAATTTTTTTATCTATTGTCAAAAGTAAATAAAAATTTTTTTGAAAATAAATTTTAAATTTGATATTAAATGATAGTAGTTTGTGAGCATATATAAAATTTGTATCTTAATTTTATTTTAGTTATTAAGCATTCCGTGAATGGCCGTGGTCCAGGGAGAGTCGAAGAAAGAGATCTTTAAACTTTCACATTACGAAATGATAGCCAAACATCTATACAAGTATTCATGCAAGGTATACAATGCCCATCTTTATTTATCTTATTAGAGTAAAATTCTATCTTTCTCTTAGAAATTGTATAACACCTAGATTGAGGTATCGACTATTATGCAAGTTGAACAACTTTGGAAAATAATTTAGTTCCGAGAAATACGCTAAAAATTCTAAGAATTTGAAAATATTTTAACAATTTTTACTTTTTTTTTCCTTATTTCTTTTTTGTTTTATTTATTTATTTATTTATTTTGTTTAATTTAGTTTAAACTTTTGAAATTTTATATTTAAAAAAATTTAATTAAAAATGTTTCAAAAAAATGAAAGATTTAAAATTATTTTAACTTTTCTATCAAATTTTAAATAAAACGCATATTTTCGATAAATTACTTTCTATATCGAAAGGAATAGAAATTTGCAAGTCAAAAATAACCGGTGATTAAGAAATTAAACATTGAACTAAATCCAAAAGAATTCATCTAATATTCATTACATTTTTTCCTCTAAAAATTAATTATGTAGCTTTTAATTAATTAAAAGTATTTGAAATTTTTACTAAATTAATGACTGAACTAAAAACAAAGAAAGAATAAATTAAAATTGAATTTTAGATGAAATTTTAAATTTTAAATAATTTAAGGCGACATTTTTGTGAAATAGTGTTTGATAAACGAATAATTAGTCATTAGTAACTAAATTCATTTTGACATTCGAAAGCTTTATTAATCGTTGAAGAAATCTTTGAGTTCAATGTTGTTTGTGCAAGGTACTATAACGTTATGCATGTTAATTACAATCATTGAACAATGCATTTATTGTTTGAAAATCGTGGCATTTATCACCAAGTTTCTTCAAATATTTAATTGTTATTTTAAATACCTATATACTCAAACTAAAAATATAGAAAAAAAAATTGATAAAATATTCCAAATTCTTTTTCACTATTTACACCGACAGTATAAAAGAAGTTTAGAATATTTTGCGAAATTTTTTGCACATGCAAGTTAAAAGTTAAAATAATAAAATTTAATTAAATAAATAAATAAATTAATTAGTTTAAATCAATTTAAACTAAATGCATATTTAAAAAAAAATATTGAATGAATTTTAAAAGTTTTAATTTAGAAAGGTAAAATTCTCTAAAGGTGTAAAACAAATAAAATAATTTAAACTTTGCAAATAAATTTTTTTCTGTGTAGATAGAGAGATGAATTTGAAGAAATACACTAAAATAATAAAGTACTACATGGTGACTACGTCATATTTCCAATTACATATTGACGAAGTCTTAAAATTTCAGTCATGTGTTTAATGAATGACAAATTTATTATTTACATAATTTTATAGATTGATTTTTATTATAATAAAGAGTTGAAAAAAAAAATTAAATTACTTCCTTTATTTTTGAATATGATAATTTTTGGAGAAAAAAATAATGTAAATATAAATTATTGTTTTCTATGAATTTTAATTTTCTTTATAAAAAATTTCTTTTATTATCATTTACAATCATTGTAAACTTTTTTTTCTAATATATATGTGAGAAAATAATTACATTAATAATTAATCACATTATTATTTTCAATGTATATAATTTTAAAAAAATATTTTGGATCTACTTAAAAAAAAATCGAACCTAAAAATATATTTAATATATTTTTATAATAGTTGAAATAGTTTGATAATTAACCAAGAAAAATGATGTCATTTAATATGACCATGGTGTTTTTCAAAGAAATTTAAATTAATAATGTTTTTTGACCTTCACATGTGAAATGGATTAAAAGACTTTGGACTTTAAAAAATTAAATCAAATGTTCTGAAAAATATCAAATGTATTCAATTTCGACAAATATATTTCTAATGCCTAAAAACAAGAATACAAAGAAATAGACGAAAAAAATAAAATGAGAGAGAATAACAGGATATTGAGAAAAAAATTTAAAACCTGTTATGCAAATAAAATTAAATTTGATTAGATAGGAGAGAGTGGGGCAAAGAGGATATATTATTAAAAATTTGTGCCCTCTAGTGATTGAATGAATAGACCAATTTTTTTATGTCTTGTTTGAAAGGTCATTTAATTGCGCAGCTTTTTTCCAGATCATGAAAAAAAATTTCAAATTGTCCTGTTTACCCCAACGCCTGGGGTAAACCATTCATACCTCAATTTTAAGCTTCTAATGGAATTTCTACCTTATATTTCATTCATAAACTTAAAAAGAGGGACAAAAACAATTTAAAAAATTGCTTTTAATACTCCAAGAGACGTTAATATTATCGATTATTGTAATATCACTTTTAGTTCGTTCAAATTGAAGGAAGGTGAAAATTAAGCGTATTTTTCATTCTTTTAATAGACAATTTTTCTATCTAATATATGTATGTACATATAATTGACTAAAAAATTTTGTTGAATGATATTTAAATTTGCGGGAAATTTTACTAAATAGAATATTTTTCTTTTGAAAATAAATTAAAAAAAAAATCATTTTCATTTTTAATAAATAATGTAAAAATATGTATCGTAAAAATTGTGTGAATTTAAAAAAATTAATAAATTTTGATACATATTTATAAGGGACAATTACAAATTAATAATCGTTATTGGTATAAAAATTTTTGGTTAAGGTTATAAACAGGTAATGTGTATTAAGGTTGTGAAAAGTTAAGTTGTCGAAGAGGTGTATACCGATCGGGGACGGGCCAGTTCCAACTTGCTTGTGGAACAATTGTTCAGTATTCTTCAATCTCGTGTCGAGTCAACGTCCAAAGGCAAGGACGCTCGCGGATTTATCAACTTCCGCACAACAATTATCATTCAATTTTTACTAAGATTTATTTGTGCCTTTTTTTAAATAAAAAAAAAAATAATCAATTTTTTCGAAAAAAAAAATTTCTCTAATGCAGTCAGAAAATAAATGTGTTAAAAAAAATTTTTTTTAATCAAATTTCATTTGACAATTATTAAAATCACAAAAAAAGAGAAAGAAAGAGGAAACAAGAAAATTAGCGACTATATTGTCGCAAAATCATCAAATTCTTTGATTGAAAAAAAAAGTGCCAATCACCTGTACAAAAATGTATCCCGAAATTGACATCGCACAAGAAGTTAGTATTTAAAAAAATAAATTATAATTTGTTTAAATTTTAGAATAATAATAATTTTTTATAATAAACTTAAATGTTATTAATCTTTTTTAACTATAAATTTTTTTTTTAAATAATCAATTAAATTATACATTAATGGTAAAAATAATTGATAATCGAATATAAACAATTGAATATAAAAATAAATAAGTTGAGGAATAATTGAATTCAAAATAATATTTTCAATTAGAAAAAGAATTAACTTCTGAAATAATTGAAAATTTTAATTGAATTTCTAAATAAAGAAAAATTTATTTAAATTTTTAATTAGTTGTTAATTTTATAAATGTTAAACAAAATAATTTTTTTTTTTTTTGAAAAACAAACATCCTAGAATTTGAAAGTTGATATATATGTAATTGTACGTTTAAGAAGCCGTTACTTTTAAAATTAGTGGTTTTAAGTTTATATTTATGAACTAATACTTTCTTAAGTTGTCTATCCTTTTTTTTCTACCTCACGGAAAACATTTCTCTTTAAAAATAGTAAAACAATATTTCTTTTCTTAAAAATTTTTATATTTCTTATTAAAAAAAATTTGTGTATATTGTTATTCCTATACATTTTCTAATTCCTATTTTCTATGCAAAATTTCTATTTTTTTTGATATTTTTTATTCATAATCATTTTATTTATAAATTTCATTAATTTTAAAATTATTAATTAAATAGTAAAATAATTTTTTACTGATAAAAAAAAAATTCGAATTGTATCATAAATTTTTTACTCAGCCCCTCCCCCCCCCTCTACCTCTTAGAATATAATAAGCAAAAAGTGCAAGGCATTTTTTAAAAACACGATTTTGAAAAATCATTTTTTTAAGATGTAAAACGTGAATAAAGATAAAAAATTTATTTTCTACGTAAATTTTATAATCTCTTTACTGTTTGAATGATAAAAATTTATTGAAAACTATTTTTTAATTTGTTTTTTATTAGTTTAGTTTTTTTTATTTGTAATTCTTTTGTTTAAAAAAATAAAAAAAATTCATTTGTATTTGTTTTTTTTTAATTTATTTATTTAAGTGAATAAAAAATAATAATTTTTTTTAAATTTATGAAAAAATTGCCGTAATTTTTTATTTCTTAAATTGTGTCATTGCACTTGAGCAGGAATGCAAAAATATATATGGAATATATATGTTTAAAAATAAAAAAAAAAAGTCAGTTGAATTGCAACATTTCACTTGAAGTTCTCGGAGAACAGTACTTTCATAATGACAAACATATTATAACAATAAACAGAGGTTTTTTTTTTACGGCTATATACATAAAAAAAACGGTGAACAGTATAACGAGTTCCAATCAATGAAATCAGTGATTATATATTCTGAATTAGTTATGGGAATTATGAATAAGATTTGCGCTCCCCTTTCAAATAAGAATTTCAAAAACACGTTTTTTGACTATTTTTAATTTTTATGTAAAAAAAAAATGATTTTTTTTTTCCTTTTTAGTATAATCTTTAACCTAGAATGCACAAGATTAAACATGTGCGATCAGTATTTTCGAAACACGTGTTACGGAACAAATCAACTTTGCCGGATCAAAATTTTATTACATAATGTGGAAGTATATCTTATAAGAGCTACTCTTGCTGATGTAACAAAAATTGGTTTTGTGCGAGAGAAATGCCCATTACAGATATATCGTATGAACGTTAAGATGAGAAAGTCTATTATGCAGTATGCCTACGTTTGAACACCAGAACGTTTAAATTTTGTATATATATATGAATGTTCATTTTTATTACTTTGTTAGAATTTTTCTTTTTTTCAAAAAAAAAAAAAAAATTTCCTCAATTCTTACACAACTGACAATTTCTGCTTTAAAATATGTATTCAACTCAAAATTTTATTTACTTTGATTATTTAATACTATTAATTGAATTATTTAATAATAATAATAATAATAAAAATAAAAAAAAATAATTCCACCATATTAAATAATTCATTTACAAATTAATTTTTAATCAACTGATTAAGATTTCATTAATTCTCACAGGTTTACTAAATTTACTTTAATTATTGTCAATTAAGTGTAATTTTGTTATTATTTCCAATTTTCACAATATATGTAACACAAAATGAAATAATTAGGGAAAAAGATAAAAAAACTAATTTTCAATAATATATATTAAATAAAAATTGAAAGCTGTTATCAAAAATAAATCAAAATTAATGGGAAAAAAATGTATTCTGACGAATTTCCGAAATTTCTAACGATGTATGTTGAAATTTCAGGTTTTTAGAAAGTTCGTAAATATGTATATATTGAATTAACGATTTATCTATTTTTTAATTTTCTAATTCGATATATAGAAGAAACGATTTGGAATTTGAATTTTCATAATTTATTATATAACACTTTTTTTTATTTTTTATTGGTTTTATAAATTTTCACGTGACAAAAAGAAAGAAGAAATTATTTGGTCTAATTGAAACAAAAAAATGAATTTAATTTTTGAATCAAATAATTAGAAAAAAAAATTATTTTCAACAAAAAAATTAATAAAATTATTTTGTTAAAATCAAATTATTTGATTCGCAAAAAAAAATTGTTATATAAATATTATATAAAATATTAATTATTTTATAATAGAAAATATGCATATATTTACCTTTTTTTTGCCCCTAAATTGTTTGTTGTATATTTTCATGAGAAGCAATAATGAAAAATTTCTTTTCCGTGTTGGTGAATTTAACATTCTTCACGTTACTTTTTAATTATAATGCCAATTTAGGTGTTTGTGTTGATACATCAAGGAACTGTGGACAAAAAAAAAAAAAAGAAAAAAACAATTAATAATTATTTGCTACAATGTGTAAAGAAAAATAAATGTTAATTGAATAAAAGATATGTTTCCATGTTGCAAAAAAGATATAACCAATGTAATGCATAATACAGACGTAATTCTAATTGTCTAGTTTAGCATAAGTCTAAACGGTGAAAGCGTTAACCCTTTTCTATATTCAAACTTACGCAATACATAGTTAACTATAGTTGTAAATAAAAAAAAAATTTGTATATAATATGCATACAATCAAAATGAGACTAAAAATATAATATCTTTATAACATTTTTAATTTTATTGCAAAAAAAAACTCATAATTTTTTTTCAATTATCAAATAAATATTTTATTTATATTAAATAAACTGTATTTGAAACAAATACCATTTAATTGACTCAAATAATTATTTAATACAAATAAATATTTATTCAAGTATCAAATTATTTGAATCAAATAAAATTTTTTTTTAGTGTAACAATTGTAAATAATGGAAGTTGAAGGAACTTTGTTTGTTTGTTTTTTATTACCTTCATTTCTTTTGTTGAAAAAAAAGCAGACTTTGATTGATGATTATTAGAAAAGTGACTATTTTTTTACAAGTAGAGAATATGAATATGAAAGAAGAAGAATATTAAGGTCAGAATTTATAATCTGTCAAAGAAAATGAAAAGATAATTTGTAATTTCCTTTCAAGAGAAAATTTTTTTTTTTTTTTTTGCTGAACCAATAATATTTTGTATTAGAAAACAAAAAATGTAAATATTAATAATTTTACTCAACATATATAAATAAAATAGGTCAAAAACATTAGAACACTTTTCTTGCACGGATTCCAATATTATTAACATTACCGCATGAACTGGCACTATTTCCGATAATTATAGAAATATAAAATTCTCTTTTTTTCCCATTCCAACGAATGTAAACTGTTAATGACAAAAACAAACAAATATTACTTGGTAAACAGTTATAATATTTAAGTAACAGTTAAAATCCATGAAGAAATATGCAACAAAAAATATATAAATATTGAATATATTAATATGGAAAAAAATTTTTTTAAATGTGTTTCAGACACAGAATACATATTCCAATATTATTGGAGAGGAAACAAACAATAATAAAATTACCAACACACATGGAAATGGATTATATCAAGGGACACCTATTCAAGAATTTTATGCTGGTCAAAAAATTTTCATTACTGGTAATTTGACATTTCTTTTAATTATTTAATTAATATTATAAAAAAAAATTGGCTAATTCAATTTATTTATTTATAAATAAAATAAAATAATATGCAAATTTGAAAAAAATAATTTTAATTTATCAATTATAGGAGGAACAGGATTTTTGGGAAAAATTCTAATTGAAAAACTTTTGAGAAGTTGCCCAAATGTGTCTACGATTTATCTTTTGATACGACCGAAAAAGGAGAAAAATGTTGAAAGACGAATTAATGAATTATTCGATGATTTGGTAAGTTAATATACAGAATTTTGTTTAGTTTTACTTTTAAAAAAATTTTTTTTAAATTTTTTTTTCTAGTTTGCAGAAAAAAAAATTTCGAGTAACATTTATTAATTTTTTATAGTGCTGTTTACGTTTAAAGAGCTAAGAAAATTTTCTATTTTACATTAAAAAAAAACTGTTATCTAAAAAAATTTGAATTTACTAATATAAGTGTTAATTGCAAATTAATGCAATAATCATTTTAATCGATTAATAAAAAAGTTTAAAAAAAGGTAAACATTCTTAAATCTATTATCAATTATATGATAATCCAATCTGTAATTATTTTAAAGTATACCTACTTTGTTTTATGAATTAATTAATTCATAAAATTAATTTCTAAAGATAATTTTCTAATGTTTGAGTTATTTTTATAATTTTTATGTCAATTTTAAAAAGTAATTGCAATTTTAGGAAAAATAATAAATATTTAAAATGTTATCATTTACCATTAAGTCTTTTTTTAACGATAATTATAACCATAATAGAGAAGCAAAGTCATTGAACTTGAAAATCGTAAAAAAAAAATTTTTCGAACACTTTAGAAATAGATGAATCATTCTTGAATTAAATATGCAAACGCCAATATATTCTCTTTTAACATCTTTTGAGAACTATTAGCATAGTTTTCTCAATAGTTTTTTTTTCGTTTTTAACGAATTCAGTTTTTTTTAAACGTTAACTGTTTTTTTTAGAGAATATAGGTACAGGATATAAAATAGCTTCAAAGTACCACTATTTTAAAATTTTTGTTTATATACATGAAGAATTAAATCACTTCTTTTACTGTCATAGAAATTTACATTTATTTATTATTATTAATTAATTTAAAGAATTAAATCTGTTATTTAATTTTTAATTATAAACAATTTTAGTGTCGATAAATTTTTAATAATACTCGAATAAAAAATAGTTATAAAAAATTTGATAAAAATAATTTTGTGAAAAATTAAAATTTGAAAAATTATTATTATATTTTCAAAAGTGACAAAAATAGATTTTAAAATTGTCTCGATCACAAAAAAATATGTATATACATCATCTGAGAAATGAATTTAAAGTGTTCAATGGGGATTTCAATCTTAGAAATGTTAATGCTCACTGATTTGTAAATCCCTTTTGGTCTTTGATCACGTAGGTGCGGCAGCTAATTAACACAATCGAGTATTACTAAAATAAATATATGATGTCGAAGATCAATAATGAATCGCACGTTTCAAGGACGATCGACAAAAGTAATATACGTCATCAACTTCTGTAATGCACACTTACGTTGGTAAATAAAATAATTCGTAGTGTGTCATGTCCTTTCTTTAAAACACTACACATCGCCTTCAAAATTTGTGCAAATAACGAAGAAGCCGTTAATTGAACATTTTTCTAAAAAATTAATTTTGCATATTACTTTCAAGAATTCCCCTTATTTTTTTTATTTTTTTTTTTTTTATTCTCCCTAGAATACGTATTTCTTTAAGGCTAAGAATTTTATTTTAGTCTTAGAAAATAGTGACAAAAAATTACACAAAAAATAAATTGTAATAAGGCGACAATAAACGTTTGGAATAATAAAAAGAAAAACTTGGTAACTGTTCTCGATAAAGATGAATGACCTGTGATTCATGAAATTATGAAATTTAAAAGTTTAAAAACATTTTATAAGCATTCATTTAATTTTCTTTTTTATAAATAATTCCATCAGAATTCTACGATTAGAAAAATAAATATCAAAATTTACAGAATTGATAATTAAATATCGAAAAATAGAATATTTAGTCGGAATTTCATTAGAATTTTATTTTTAAAATAATAAGATTATTTTAATTAAATAAATTTTTTTTTCCATAGAAAGATTTTTTTCTTTATCAAAGCTTTTGATATTTCCTTATTTATTGAAAATTAATGAACAAACATTAAAATTAACATAAGTACATAATTTTAATTATTCAATATTTTTTCAATGGATTATGTTTTTTCTTTTATAAAATAGACTACTAAATAAGTGAAATATGATAAAATGTCATTAACGATGTAATTATTACTATAATTATTGAGAATTGTTTAAGGGGGAAAAAAAGTGAAATAATAAATTATAAATGAGAATTACACCTTCATTTAATTGCAATGAATTAAAATCTAAATTTCATTAACACAAAGATACATTTTTAATTTCAATGATATAATCAAAATGTCAAAACCTACATAAAAAAAGTATATATAAAAAAAAATGTAACATTAAATTATAATGAAAAGTGTACACAGTAGAAAAAATATATTGTGTATGCAAATGTTTTTTTTTTCACGTAAAAAATTGGAATTATATAAAACTTTTTTTGTCATATCTATTATTGATAAATATTTCTAATGTATCCTATACAAAAAATAACTTAATTAACAAAAAAAAATTGTTATTGAAAATTTTTTTCTATTTTGCAAAAATTAACGAAAATTGGAAATAAAATTTTCAAATAAAGAAAAATTAATTAAAAATTTTTCTTTGATTTTCAGATCTTCGGAGTACTTAAAGAGAAAATGCCAAAATTTCGTCATAAGGTCGTTGCAATTGAAGGGGATTGTACACTTGAAGGCCTAGGTCTTTCTTCATCTGACCGAGAACTTCTAATACGCGAAGTGAGTATATTATAGCATACTATTACTAAATCCTTTGTTAATTATTTGCAATTTAGAATTTTTTTAAAGTAACTAAATTTTGTAACGACTAACAATAGAAGTTAATTAAACAATAAATAAACATTTACTGATGTACTAAATTTTTTTTTTCAATTTCAAATTTCAATTAATTAATTAAAAATTCAAACTAAAATTAATTTTAGTTCCAATAAATAGTATTTTTAATCAATTAGTTTCAATTAATTGTAGCTCCATTCAATTGGTAGTTACAATTAATTGTAGTTTTAGTTAAAAATTTTATCAATAACAAATAATTTCCCTAATGGTAATTTAATTCACTAGTTTTAATTATAATATTTTTTCAAAAAAATTATTCATTTAATCGTTGATTTAATTAATAATTTTTTGAAATATTTTTAATTAACAATCGAAATTTTCGGCTAACAGTAAATCATTATTTTCTATATGAATTATTACCAATTACGAAAAAAAAAATATAAATTACAATTTGTTACAATTTGCAGGTGTCAATAATTTTCCATGTGGCTGCAACTGTTCGTTTCGATGAAAAATTAAAAAATGCAGTTGCAATCAATATACGAAGTACTGCTGATATTTTGGAATTGGGCAAGGACATGCAAAAGTTAAAGGTAAAAAAAGGAGAAAAAAATTTTTCCTTTTTTTTTTGTATAAGTGACTCGATTTTATTTTTTTTTTTTTTAAATGTGTGTGTGTTCACATTTCTTTGAACGCTTATACCTACTTTCTTCAGTAAAATCACGCTCTAAAAGACACACGTAATTTCCTTGGCATACATACATTATATCGACGAGCAGGCGCTTCTGCAGATATGCCGCCTTATTGAAATGTCATTTCATAACTTGCCCTTCGCTTGTGAACGAGGCAAGGAATTTCTCTTCAAGATGACATAAGAGCACAAAATCTCCTTGCGAAATTTTTTTTTTCGGTGAAAACTATGTTTTTTTTGAATAATAATTTTTTATTTTTTTTTTTGCATTTGTGTCAATATTTGTGGAAAATGACGTTTTTTTTTTCTTTTTAAAAGTTATACACTTTTCTATAACAACTCGTCACTTAAATGATCGATAATTGTCAGTTTCAAGGGAATCGTAAATATTTTTATCTTTTATTTGCGAATGAGTTTTTACTTAGAAATTTAGTTTTTTTTTTAGTTTGCACTTCCAGTAAAATATGCATAATTTGTCTAATTATCTGTACAGGTATACCAAATGGGTTCGAAGTTTATTCAAATATATGCGTCCTTTCAAATATATATAATAGTTGTCACTTCCTGACAAATATAATATAATAATCCGAGCTTTTAGTAAAACATGATTTTTGTTTTAAAAATGGATTTTCATGAGACAAATATAAAAATCCATTTTTATTTGAAAAAAAAAAAATTTGGTACTATCAATAAATATTTTTTCCTACAAACTATTTGGTTTAATCTGTTATCAAATTTTGATTGATTCAACCAAATATTTACTTAATCAAATAATTTTTTTATAAGTTTATCAACGAAATTTTTTGGTTGCACCAAGTAAATGCACTTTTTTTAAAATTAAATCTAATTTAAGATTAGAAATTAAAATTAGTTTTTTAAATTAATTTACCAATTATTAATTAATGTTTGCTAAACATGTTAATAAAAAAAAGTATAATTTTAAAAATAATTAATTTAATTTTAGTCAATGATCCACGTATCGACAGCTTATGCAAATTGTAACCAGAAAAAGATCGAGGAAAAATTATATACATATCCCATCGAGTCTGAAGATCTTTTGAAGCTGGTTGAATGCCTTCCTGAAGAGGTCATTGATGGAATCACCCCAAAGTAAGCAATTTTTTTGCTCTTCAAATTTCTTATGATCTTAAAATATGTACTTGTACATTAAATTTTCAGCGAGAAAAAATGTGTCTAAATAATAAAAAAAAATTTTTAAATAATTTTTTACTAAAATTTCAAAAACAAAAAAAAAATTATATATTTTTATTGCAGAATAATTTCATCGTGGCCAAATACTTATGCCTTTACAAAAGCCCTCGCAGAAGATTATGTGAGAAGAAAGAATAAAGGACTACCATTAGGAATATTCAGACCGGCAATTGGTAAATATTATTTCAACAAATGAAAATCGAAAAGTAACCTTATAAAATTAAATTTTTCACAAAAATCTGCGAAAATTAATAGAAAAAAAAAAAAAAATGGAAAACAATAAGAAAAATAAATTGAAAATTATTCGAAAAAAATAGAAAAAAGAAAAAAAATGTGTTTGGCAATAGCAATGTATGCAATTAGTGGATTTATAAGTATAATTTGGCAATTATTATTGACAATAGGAATATTTCTCTTGACAGTATTGGGAAAATTAATTCTTTTAATAAGTGTCTCATGCTATACAATTTTTCATTCAAGAAATGAAATTGAATTTCAAGAGCCACCATTTGAAACAATGTATCCTGAATGTATTGAATTTGATGAAATTTATGATAAATTCAGTAATGTCTCATTAGAAACATTTAACAATTTCGATAGTGGAAATCAATCACAATATTTTAATGAAGAAAAAATTGAAACAAGAGAAAATAATTATTCCAATTTAATTGAAAATGATAGAAGAAAAAAGAAAAAAACTTCATCTAAATTGACAAATACACATGTGAAAACAGTTGAAGTTTCCGTTAATACTGATTGTACATCGAGAACCTGTTTGAAAAATATATAACAAAAAAAAAATATGTAAAATAATATTAATCACTACTGCTATCAACATTGCCATTAAAATTAATTAATAAATTAATTAACATAAATTAATGAAAGTAATTTTAATAAACATTTTCTTTATTTATTTAATATAAGCTTTCAATTATTAAATAAATAAAAAAATGAATTTAAAATACAAATTTTTAGGAATTTTAATTTAAATTTTTCTGTATAACAATAATTTTTTATAATTTAAAATAAAATAAAGGGACTAAAAAAATAAATTTTAATAAAACAAAATATAAAAAAAGAACTGAATTTTTTTTAGTTGTTTCTACATCTAAGGAACCTATTCCTGGTTGGATAGACAATCTTTATGGTCCAACTGGAGTTACTGCAGGAGCCTCAACCGGAATTTTGAAGTCCCTGCATTGTAATCCAAAAGTAAATGCCAATATTGTTCCTGTGGATTTGACTGTTAATGCTTTAATAGCAAGTGCTTGGGATGTCGCTATGCAACCAACGAGGTAAACGGCATAAAAAAAATTAATTTTTAAAAATTGTTTAATAAATTTTTAAAAATTATTTTCGTTTAATAAATTAAAATTTGTTTTCAGGAGAGAAGAAGATATGTTAATATATAATTTTGTATCTTCGGAAGATGCACCTTTAACATGGAACGAGTATTGTAAAATAAATACAAGATATTCTGATATTTATCCACCCAGCAATTCATTTTGGTATTTGTCATTTAAAATGAATAAGCAAAAAACAATTCATACAGCATCTACAGTATTTTTGCATTTATTACCAGCTTTCATTGTCGACACAGCTTGCATTTGTCTTGGTCAAAAACCAAGGTACGAAAAAATTATTTTATTTAATATTTAAACTAATTATTTATCAAAATTAATTAATTATATTAAAAATAAATTAAATTATTCGATTCAATATATTTGAAAATTTTACATTTTTAATTTAGTTATTTTTATTTTCAGACTAATGAAAATGTATCAGAAAATTCACAAATTCACAGACGTAATTTCACATTTTTGTACCAATGAATGGACATTTAGCAATGAAAATGTACGATTTTTGTACGATAGAATGGACACAAAGGATCAAGAAATTTTTAGTTTCAGTATGAAAAATTTCAATTGGGAAAAATATTTCGAAACTTATTTAAAAGGAATACGAGTCTATTTGTTTAAAGATAATCTCGACAATTTGGAAAAAAGCAAATTAAGGTGGCAAAGGTGAGATTTCATTTTCTATTTATAGAATTATAGTTATAATATAAATAAAAAAAAAAAAAAAAATTTTAATATTTTATTTTTAGGCTCTATTGGTTACATCAGTGTGTCAAAGTGATGACATTCACTGTTGGAGTTTGGCTTTTATGGCGAATATTCACAACTGCTTTAAGTTTAACGTAAAATTTTACAATGTTATTCTTTTTTTTTCATCGAACAAAAATTCTAGTTATAAATAAAATATCCGTTACACTGTAAATATTACTAAAATTTATACTTTGTAATTTTGTCTTTTGTCCACATAATATAATACGTAAAATTAATTGCAATGAAAAGAAATTGTAATTTAATTATATAAGAATTAAAGAGATTTCGCAGAGAATTAACACAAAAAATTTGTACAATTTCTCTTCTATTGGATTAAAAAAAAATTACAGTAAAATATTTTAGTAATATGCGTACAACTGTGTAAAAAAAAAAATTTTTCTGGAATCGTTTCCAAAGAATTAAAAAGTTTAGTCTATATTTTTCTAATTATAAACGATACAATTGTAAAAATTGTATCATTTTTTTGATAAAATTCAGTAAAAAAATGAAATTGCAATAAAAAGCAATTAAAAAAAAATATAATAAAATTGTATCTAAATATAGTGAGAATGTTTGGAAATTTATCAATTTCTGAATATTTCTTCTTTATGATATAAACATTTTTTTACTTTAAAAAATTTTTGGATAAAAAAATTTTTGCTAAAAAAAATTATGTTAGGAAACATTTTCATGGTGTATGAAAAAAAAAATTAAAGTTAAATAATCTGTAGTTTTGAATAAATTTAACTCAGGGAGGGAAAAAAAGTATTGAATTTAATATTTTCTGGTTATTGTCGCATCTATTCTATTGTTTATAAATATAATTTAAATATATCTCTATTCAGACTTCAATTTCTTCGCAAAAAAAAAAAAAATTTTTTACAAAATAAACTTTCCCAATGTATGTAATAGTAATTAATAATGTACAGTAAATTAGAAAATTTTAAGAACAATAATTGTATAATGTTTTGTAATTAAAAATTCTTTTACACTAATTTCTAATTATTTAAAAAAAATTTTAAATACACTTTTCCTTTTTCAGGGAAAATTTTAATTGTTTACAATTCAAATTGTAATAAAGTAAATTTTTTTATCCGATTTATCAGAGTCAAGGCATATATTATTATCAAAGTTCATCAGGTCAAGTATATGAATATTATTTAATAGCTTCGTGCCTAATGAAAATCGTTTAGTCTAATGAAGTTGTTCGGTAATTAATTAATCATTTTGTCAGTTTTAAATTATAAGGTACGTTTTAAATTTTACTGAAATAATTTTTTTTTATTTTCTAATTTATTTTCTTATACTGCATTTATAATAATTTTAAAAAAATTAATTTTTAATAATTGAAAAAATTAACTAGTAGTTTTTCTCATTACAGAATGAAAAAATTATTTTTTCCCTTGCTACTTTTTGTAACAACGAGTCAACAATTTTTATACAGAAAAATTAGAAACACCCTACCAACAACTGAGAATAATTATCGTTTACCAAATAATTCAATTCCACATCATTATAAATTAAATTTAAATCCAAATATAATTCCTGATAATTTCACATTTAATGGAGAATTAGAGATTTTGTTAGAAATTGTTGTGGTAACAAAAAATTTAACACTTCATGCGTCGAATTTAACAATTCTTGAGGAAGAAACAAATCTACTTGGAGAGAAAGAAAAAATTTTACCAAATAAACATATTATTGATGAAGAACGAGATTTTTTAATTTTAACATTTTCCAAAGAAATTCAACCCGGAAATTATATTCTTCAATTAAAATTTTATGGTGTCATTAGTAGTAATGATGTTGGACTTTTTAAAAATTCTTACAAAAATGAAGAAAATGAAACAGTGTAAGTAAAAATTACAAAAAAAATAGAAAAGTAAGTAAAAATTGAAAAAAAAAATTACAGATATTTAATTTCTACACTTTTTCAACCGACATATGCACGCGAGGCATTTCCTTGTTGGGACGAACCGGGTTTAAAGGCAACTTTTGAAATTTCATTAAAACATTATCCAAATTACACGGCTTTATCTAATATGCCAGTGAAAAAAATTGTAAATGACAATATCGATAGAGATGGAAAAATATGGACAAATTTTGAAACAACACCAATGATGTCAACTTATTTAGTGGCATTTTTAATAACTGACGATTTGAAAAATTATACAAATTCAGTAGGAAATTTTTCCGTATGGTCTAGAGAAAATCCTTTAAAAACAATGAAAATTGTCTTTGAAACTGGACAAGAGGCAATTAAGATTTTTGAAAATTATACAAATATTCCTTATGCATTTCCAAAACAGGATCACATAACAATTCCAAGTGTTTCTGAAGCTATTGAAAATTGGGGCCTAATCACTTACAGGTTGTAAATAAATTTTTCAATTATTTTAAAATTATTAAAATATTATTTTATTAAAATAAATTCTGTTGAAACAAAATTAAATTTTTTATAAAATGAAAATTTTCTGCACATAGAAATTGGGTTCGAATAATTTAAATAATTTTTTCAAATTTCCAGAGAAGAAGTAGTTTTTCAAAAAAATAATTTTTCAACAGAAAAAACAATGGGGGCAATTTTAATTACAATTCACGAAATTTGTCACCAATGGTTTGGAAATTTGGTTACTCCCAAATGGTGGAAACATCTTTGGCTTAGTGAAGGATTTTGTCAATATATGCAATGGATTGTTGCTAGTCAGGTTAACAAATAAATAAATAAATAAATTATTAAAAAAAATAATGAATTTAATGCAATATTTATTTATATTATTATTCAAAAATATATTTCAATTTTAGACAATGCATGAGCCAAGACTGTTAGAAATTTTCATAGCTACAAATAAATACGAGGGATTTGATTTTGAGAGGAATTCTTCCGTTTTAGCTTTAACTCCAGAATTAAAATCTCGAGATGAAATACTTAGAACTTTCGAAACTCTCACATACTGCAAAGGTTTTTTTTTTAAATTTTGTATTCTAATAATTAATTAATAATAAAATAATTCTGAAATATATTTTATTATATAAAAAAACTAATTTTTCAGGTGCATCAATTGTTCACATGATTCGCGGTATTCTATCGGAAGAAGTATTCGATGCTGGTATTAGGAAATATTTACAAAAACAGTAAATAAATTTATTTTAAAAAATTGAACCTTCAATAATAATTTAATTTTAAAAAATATGTTTAATTTAGAAAATTTCATAATTTTAAAAAATCTTCTAAACGAGAAGTTATAAAAATAAATTTTCATTTTTAGTCAATTTAAAACAGTTAACACAGACGATCTTTGGATGTCATTAAGTGAAGCTATGATTGAAGCTAATGTTCCCTACAGTGGAATGGATATTAAAAAAATTATGGATCCTTATTTAAAACAAAAAGGATATCCTACAATAAACGTCATTAGAAATTACAATACTGGTAAAGTAAAAATAACCCAAGAATGTATTGTTTGTGAAAAATTTTACAATCAAACAAATTCAAAATGGTGGATTCCCATAAATTTTGTTACAAATTCATCGTTACAATTTACTACAACGTTACCAACACATTGGTTGAGTCCCGAAGATGAGGAATTAATTATCGATGGAATCGATTCGAACGATTGGATAATTGTTAATGTAGAAAATACTGGTATTTTTTATATTCTGATAAATTTTATTTTGTATATTTTATTTATTGTTTATATTAATTTATTCTCATTTAGGATACTATCGAGTGAACTACGACAAAACAAATTGGAACAAAATTGGAAATTACTTAAATTCGAAGAATTATTCAAAAATTCATGTTTTGAATCGATTGCAAATTATTGACGATGCTGCTTATTTTCTTCAGAATAAAAAATTATCTCATAATGATTTTCTCGATATTCTTTCGTATTTACAACGAGAAGAAGATTATATACCATGGATCGCGGGTTTTCGAATTTTAAACAATTTTCAAAATTATCAGGATAATTTTCTTCTAGAATTATCAATGCAGGTGTAGAATATTAAAAAAAAGGAATTTAAAAAAGAAAAAAAAAACAAAAACTAGAATAAAATTTTTTATTTCAGATGTATGCTAAAATATTGTTGATCAATAATCTTCTAGATCGTGTTGGTCTTGAGGAAAGTATAAATGATGATCTTTTCACTCGTTTACTACGCAAAGATGCATTAAAATTATCATGCGATTATGAAATGGAATCCTGTCAAAATAAAGCCAATGAATGTGTGTCAAAAATTTTGGAAAATTCCAATCCTGAATTGTAATTCAAAATTTTGTAACTAAAAAAATTATTTTCTAATCACTATTTAATTAATAGTCACAGAATAAAATATACTTTATAATAAATTATTCTAGAGTTCCACCAAATGAAAAAGATTGGATAATTTGTGCTGGTTTAAAAAAATCTAATGAAACAATTTGGAATTTAATGTTGGATATTTATAAGAGAACCAAAGATGAAAATGTACTTGAAAGTTTGAGTTGTCGTGACGATGAGAAAACTTTAACAAAATATTTAAAATTAATCACAGAAGATGATAATAATTTAATTTTGGGAAGTAAAATTTTGGATATATTACATTTTGCATCGAAAACTAATGTTGATTTGACATTAAAATTCATTAATACAAATCGTCAAGAAATTAAAGAAAAGTAAGTGTTGATTTGAAAATAAATTTCAATGATTAATTGTTTACAAAAATATAAATTAATTTATTTTTCATAGATTAAACAATGAATATTCAATGTCTAGTGTTTATGAAAAAATTATCATTAGCTCCAGAGGATTGAAGAATTTAAAAAAAGTAAGTTCGTCAATGTAATTAAAAAATGTGTACATAATAATAATTTAAGTTTGTAAAGTCTTACTAAAACATACTTTTACTACTGAACAATAATCTAAATTTATAAACATTTTGTCTGACTGAAACTAATTTATACTACTCATATCAAAATTACAATAAATAATAATAGTTATGTCTGACTGAAACTGACTTTTACTACTGATATCAAAATTATAACTTTGAAAATTTATGTCCGACTAAATCTGACTTTCACTACTGATATCAAAATTATAATTTTGAAATTTTACGTCTGACTAAACCTGACTTTTACTACTAAATTCAAAATAATATAATTCGTAAAAATATTGTCTGACTGAAATAGACTTTTACTACTGATACCAAAATAGTAATAATTAAAACATTTTTTTCTTTGTCTTTATTTTCTTATAAAATAACTATAAAGTATTTAATTATTTAATTAAATTAATTTTTTTAAATTTCAGATTAAAAATTTCATAGAAAAGAATGAAGATCAACAAACAATTGAAGGAATGAAACCTCTTATCACTATGAAAGAAGAAGAGATAGAAATTAACAAAATTTTATAAATTTTTTTAAAAGTTACTAAATAAATAAATTAATTAATTACAAAAAAAAATATTGAAACATAATTTTTTCAATAGAATTCTTTGGATCTCTTGAATTAAAGTGAATTAAATGAAATAGGAATTTCAATTTTAAAAAAAAACCCCGACAGATGTATCGTGATTTTTAGATTTTTCACAAAATCTGTACTATTCTTCTTCATTATAAAAATCGAAAATTTTTACATTGGAAAGTAACGATCCTATATGCAAGTTACTAAAGTTCTTATTGCAAAATTGAAAGTGAAGTTTGTTATCATATTTTCCCTAGCTTACCAACAGTCCGTTATTTAAATGTTTAAATTTTCAAAATTTTACCACCTAATCTTTATAACTTAACAATTAAATATTATTATTATAATTATTGTTATTATTATTATTATTATTATTATTATTACTATTATTATCATTATTAATATTATTATTATTGTTACTAATTTTCTTATTCAAAATAATTTTCTAGCAAAATAAAAAATTTGTCGACCATATTTTGTAATAGATATAAAATTTTCCAAATTTGAGTTCGATTATAAACTTTTTTTCACCTTTGATAATTTTTGACATTAAATATCTAGTGTTTATAAAAAAAACAGCGTGTTTTTTTGGATTTTTTATTACGATTTTTAGAATTAAAAGGTGCGAATAAAAACGAAATAAAATCAATGGAATATTTTTCCTTTCTGGAAATTTTTATTTTGGAAGATTTTTATATCGTCAAAAAAACTCGATTTTTTTTCTTCAAGTTTGTGATGTATTTAAACTTAGAGAAAAAAATCTTCCACTTTGTGGAAGGATTATAAAATCACCATTATAAATTTTAACACACAAAAATCTGTGATTCCTATTATATATATATATACGATAGGTACGGAATGTTCACACACAATATCTATAGCTACTTTTATTTTATTATGCTAATTTTTGCAAAATTAAATGAATACATTATAATAATCATAGTGCCCGCAAACATTCATCGACTACAAAATTGGTTATACGTTTGTCCCGCTGTTTTTGAAAAAAAATAACATAACGGTTCCACGAATATTCGACAAGGTTAAACCTCCTAAAAATTCCCATATCAAAAATACAATATTTGAAATCGTAAAATAAGCAAATAAAATCGATGAATGGAATTTTTTTTCTATATGCAAAAAAAAATTTTATAGTGGCTTACTATAAAATATTTTTATAGAACAAAAATTTTTTTTTTTATAAATTTAAGAAAAATTATTTATTTTCTCTTATAAATTAAAATTTGTTATTTTCTTATTTTTTTTCAGTTGGAAAATATTTTTTTCTAAAAAAGATAATCAATAATTCAAAAAAATTAATTTACGTTCCTTATTACTTAATTTTATAGTCTGCAGTATTAATTTTTCATTAGCAGCGCTTCATTATCCATAAAACAATAGTAAACAAATTAAAATGTTGTAAACAATGTTTATTTAAAATATTTTCCGATTGGCTATAGATTTTATAAAAAAAATTATTTTTATTATTTTTTTTTTGTTTTTTTCTTAATTTTTAATTCTTTAACATGTAAATACTTTTTTAACTTTAATAAATAATCAACAAGTTGCCATAAATACTGTGCAATTATATATTTTTCATATTTGTCAATTAATCATTGTCATTTTAAGTATTTCCGCCATGAAAAAAGTTGTTTATAATAAAAAGAAAATTTCATCTATATCATTTATATATGTAAATAGAAATTTTATAATTTTAATTTCATATATTTATTATTATTTTTAAAAAAAGAAAAATTCCATTCATTTTTAGTTTAATTTTTCATTTGCAATTTTCAAAAATCAAAATTTATATATTATTTTGAAAATAACATTAAATCAATTCAAAACTACGAAATATAAAAATAAACATTAGTCCTTTTGAGTCATTATTATTTATTATACCGTTTTTTTTATTGTAAAGTTATTATTTATTACTATATACGAAAAGTTTGTAAAAAAATATCGAATATTGCCGATATGACGTCATTGATGATGATAATTAAAATAACAACTATTATTGAAAAACACGGTTAATCCTTTCCTCGAAATTCAAAGTTGCAAAACAACATCTAGAGTAAAAAAAATACAATTATTAACCTTATCTACATTTATATTAACTTGCTTGCTTCATAGAGCTATATAGTTCATATTCTACTTTTCCCGTAAACATTATTTAAATAATTTTATTTTTTTCCTAATATTATTTTGATATTTTTCAATTTTATGTAATACTTTATTACACGTGCAACATGGAAATATACAATTGAAACAACAATGAAAATAAATTTAAAAATAATTTGTAGATATTAGTTCAAATATATTTTAAAAAATTTAATCAAATAGTAAAAAAAAAAATTTTAATTTAAAATTTTTAAATTCCCCGAGCTAACATTTTAGTTATTAATTTAATGAAAATTTTGATTTGTGTAAATTACAGCTCACGCGTAAATGATGAATTATTTTCTGTCTCATTATCATACCATGGAAAACACTCACAATTATGTATACCTACACCCACTAAAGGAGAAAAAAGCGGAAATTTAAAAAAAAAAAAGTCGAGTGTTTTTTTTTTATATTAATCCATATTTTCATTATAAATGACGTTTGCAATTACGTTGAATTATAAACACTGATTTTTAAAATATTCCACAGATTGTTTTCATACTTTCAAAATAGAAAATTAAACAATTAATTTATTTATTTCTTATTTAATTTAATTTATTTCCTAATTAAATAAATCCTTAATTATTCCTTAATCAATTTAACCTTTTATCAATTAAATCCTTAATTAATTAATCTCGTTTAAAATGTTTGAGAAGCAATTAATATTCAATAAAAATTTGTTCATTGTTTCAATAGTTTTTATTTTTTATTTGCAAAATTTTCACGTATTGTTGAACTTGATCTTTTGAAAATTTATAGCGAGAGTACAAATCATTGCGTTTATAATTCTAAAATGCAGAACACGAAAACTGAATGATATAAAAAAGAAAAAAAAACATAAAAAGAACATAAAAGTTCTTTTGAATAAATAAAAATCTATTGCTTCCTAGATAGAAAAAAAAATTACTTCCCTTAAAAATCTAAACATTTTTATCTTTTAATGAAATTTTCCGCATCTACCAAATTTGTGCGATAAACTAAGAAAACTATTTATATGAAACTGTTTTTTTTTTTTTTTGCTTTGCATTACAGCATCTCAAGAATTTATTCGTATTAATTAATTATATACACGGTTTTCTGTACAATTCTGTTCCATTCGGAATTCCGTAATAAAAATGACGTAATACGGTGGAAAAAAGTTTAAAGTCCAAGTTCATTTTACATCATATGGTATATATACAATCTTTGCAAAGTTCGCAGAAAATTTATAATAAATTCATATGGCGTTGAAATTTTGTCTGCTCGATTTTTTTTCGCATGAATTTTTTACGTATATATATATATTTAATTCAATTCGCGTAAAAAAACTGAAAAGAAATATTTTTTTATATTTATAATAAAATTTTTTCACTTTTAAACAAGAAATTTTCAATATAATTCAAAATTCATTTTTTTGTTTAATTTCCGAAAGAAAAAAATTATAATATTTATTTACAAATAAATAATTTAATTAAAATGAAAAAAATTTTATAAATAAATTTTTTAATGAAATACACTTTTGGTTTTATCTTTATTATTAATTAAATTTAATATATCTCAATTTTGCTGACGTCAAAGTGCGTCACATATACACCTTTAATGTCAATTACATTAAAATTAATTCACTATTATTTTTTTATATAAAAAAAAGAAGAAAGAGAAAATTTTGTTTCTCGAAATTTCTTACTTCAAATGTTATAACATTCACTCCGGAACTGAATTAATAATATTAATAAATTATAAAAAACGTAAAATGAATTACACACTAGTTTATAAAAAAAAAAAAAAAATATTTGTTTCCTTATTCACTGAAAGTTCAAGGTTCAAAAAAAAGGAAATGAAAAGAAATATCCATTGTTTCTAATAATATTAATCACTGGAGCTTTTCATTTTACGCAGATTCAATACAAAATAACGTAATAATGTAAATATGGATAAATATAAATTTAAAAAAACTTTCATTAAAGTGATTCAATTTTGTCTCATATCAAAAATAGTTCTAAATAATCAAATTTATTATTTTTAAAATAATAACAAAAATAATCAATTTTTTTAAATCAAAAAATAAATCAAAAATTATTGAGCTTCTTATATACAAAGTATATACAGTGACAAAATGTTTATTTCATCTTTATGTAAAAAAAAATACTTCCTCTTATGAGGAAGCAAATAAGAAGAAAAAAAAATGCCAGATCATCGGAAAATAATCATCATTGTATTTGATAAGTTCACAAACGAGAGATGTAAAATTTACATGACACTTTAAAGCTAATGAACAACAAAATTAATAGCAATCAATTCTCAACCGGTTCCATTGTCTCTCTCTCTGTATATACGCGGGTTTTTCATAATTTTTTTTTTTTTTCTAGAATCCCCCCAGGTTTTGCGACAAGTTGGAAATTTACAAAGAGAATTAATCGTTTATATGCACTTTCGACGTCATTGGTCGTTGTTCTCTATATGTTGATTACCTTGCATAGGTCACTAAGGCGGATTCAGTTTATAATGAAAAATCAACAAGAAATTGGAGTCTTTCATTAAAATTCACTATATATATATACAAACTTTATGTATATATAATATACATTCTTGCTTCAAGTCAATTTCCTTATTAAATTCCAATCTCATATATTCAAATCTTTTTCTTACAAGAAAAAATAGTAATAAATTCTCTATATATCAAAAGATAATATTGCCTCAAGTTATAATTATTTTAAAAAATAAAATATAATCATTTTAAACTTGTTTTTGTATTCAATCACTTTAGAGAATTATATTTTTTTGTACAAAAAAATTTGAATATTTATATTTATTTAAAAGTTATTAAAATGTTTACAAAAAGGAAATTTTTTTATTTGAGACAAATATTTATATGAATCAAATATTTAGTTGAATCAAATATTTATTTGAAACAAATATTTATTTAAAACAAATATTTAGCATCTCTGAGGCAAATATATTTTTTCTATGTGAAAAAAAGTTTTTTTTCAAAAACAAAATAAACAGTTTTAGTTAAAAAAAAAAAAAAAAGTTTTATACCCTTAAAAAGTTTTAACTGCAAAGGAGAAATGAATAGCTAATGGATTTTGATTTTTGATTTTTATTTCGTCGACACGTAAATGTGAGCATATTTTTTCTTCTTATTTTTGCAGACTAATGTGTAAATTATTGCATTATAAATTCAAAATGTTAGGTCCCATTAAAAAAAAAAATATTTCTGTTAGCAGATGATTCTAATAAAAATTTTTTATCAAGTCAATCAAATTTTATTTTGAATTCATGATGAAGATTCACCGAGGAAATTCCCAGGACTCCCCATTAGGATATCAGCAAACTAATCGGAGGAGAGCACATATATACATA